ATAGAATTCGATTAAATAGCGATAGCTTTAGTCAATTATAATAGATTTAATCAATCATTAAATAAGGAAAAATCGGTGGTCGGGATCGACGTTGACCGCCTGCAATGTAGCCTGAAATTGAAGGTTAAAGCTAAGCTATAGGTAGGACCCACCGCTACCCGATTAGCAATTTTGCTCTCCCCGATTAGCAGTTTCGGAGATGAACCAACTCGTGGGCGCCGGTGGAGTACGCCAGGCCCGAACCCGGCCAAGCTTGGCCGCGCCGTCCTCCTGGTCGATTGTGGGGTCTGGGGAAAGGCTCGAGAGTCTCATCACAGTTTGGAAACCCTCGACTCCAACCTCACTTGCAAGACGGCCGGGCATCAGTCCGTTTCCAGCGGTGGAATGTATGTACTAACTTGCACACTATGTACAGTACGGAGTAACACTTTTTCAACGATAGGATGAACCATGGTTGTTTGATGTGTGGTATATCGCCGCTCATCTGCATTCTGCACGGGGCTGGCATGCGCACCCGGTATCCTCCGTTGTGTGTCCGGACGTTTGCGGAGGAGGTACGGGAAATAGCCGGAGACTTCTTAGCTTGGCCGGGCCGTTGGCGGAGCGTCTGCATGTTGTCCGTAGGCCGGATCGGCTTTGTCAAGCCGGGAGCCAAACGTTCAGGAGGCACCTGGCAAGGACCGACAATTTGAGCCGAATAAGTATGAAAGCATCAATTTTCCTTCTCTTCCACTTTGGGCGTAAAATATGCATCGTGGGAGATGCTGATTGCAGAATGCAACATCCGACAAATGCAGCAGGAAAGCAACGACCGAGTAGCTCTGGGCTGCAGACGGGACGGCAGAAGATCAGACAAGTCGATCGAATCAGAGCAACCTACACAGCGACTTGCCGATTGGCCATGGAAGGCATGGTGAGCTTCTGTGATGCCAAGCAAAATGCCTCTGCTCGTCCATGTCTGTATCTCACTTTCGGCTTGTAGCTCTCCAGATCAGTTCCTTGCACTTTGGCTATCGCAGACATAGCTTTCTCTATCGTGGTGTAAAAGCCTGCACCACGGAGCGTGGATGTTTGCGGAGCTTGGCTGTCTAGCATCAGCGATGACTTTGGGAGAGAGCCCCCCTAGGGCGCCTGGGGCATGAGACGGTGCTCCACTATCCGCAAACATCCAAAGCACAGCTGTGTTGTCCAAGATGTTCGGACGACATGCCAACAAGGATGCCCTGTGGTTTTCTGTGAATTGTGGCCAGCAACAATTTCTCCATGCTTGCTCACAATCCACCCAACCAATCGATCACCGGCCTTCGGCCCGTTTGAGAGCAGTGGAGGCCGCCCCGGCGACACATCAGACGTCAGACGCAAATGTGACACTGTTTCACTGGAGCCGCTGTGCTTCTCGAAGAGAGTTGTTGAAAAATCTCCCTTCTCACTCCCGCTCCCGGTTCCCCCAAGGAGTCAAGCGGAAACCGGGGGTTGCTGAAAAGGGAATGGATTGGTCCAATTTGCCCTTGGTGGGGATGGCGTGATCCCTTGCAGTGGAATCGGAAGAAGTCGGGGAAAGGCTTGTGACATCCATGCATCCCGCGCTTCCGCCTCGTGAGCTTCCCGGCCTTGCCCCTGAAAAGCCCACTTTTCCATTTGCCAGAGACTCCACCGATGCCCGACGCCATCTGCCCCTGTTCTGGACCTTACCAAAAGATATGGAAGCCCCCGAGGTGCCAAAAGAACGTTAGTTCCATATACATATCCCTATTCTAGCTGCCATATGCGTACGTACTGTAGTCCGAAGCCGTTCGCACTCGGTTGCATTTTACTCGGAATGAGTTTAGACTGGATAGAGTACCCTCGAGATGCTGAGTGAACCTCCATTCCGCTTGCCGTAATCCGGTTCTCATGCCCGAAGCGACATGAAGAGAATTCCCCGGCAGGAGCTGTCGCGTGAGGCTGATACTGTGGTAAGCCTGTCTGCGATAAGCTGTATGCACACTACAGCCACCCTGCGGGGTGTGGCTTCAACGTTGTATTAACAATGTTGACTTCAGATTGTACCTGTAAAGCCCAGGAACGTTGTCAAACGAGCTCGTCGCATGCTTTCTCCAGCGCTTTTGAACGCCCAATGCTTTCCTATTGTCATTCATTAGGTAACTGGCTTCAGGAGTGAGCAGCCCAGCCCCTTCCGAAAGCCGGCCATGCCTCGCTGGCGTCAAGTGCGAGATGTCAGGAGGGACACCGATGATTTTCCTGCGTGCCTTGATGTATGTAGCCTCAGCACCGACAACCGATCCCGATAGGCCAGCCGACGGATCGGGACCAGTTCCTAACCCAGAAGGGTGACCTCGCAGCTTATTGTCGTATCCATGATTGGATGAATCGCACCTGGAGAGTGTGCTGGCTAGGAAGACCATGAAGAACTGTATGTACTGTACTCCGTTTTCAATGTCCTTTGGATCCGTCGGCGCTCCCCAGGTCAGCACCGAAAGAGACAAAGCCCGGTGGATGGTCTCTCCAGGCTGCGGCAACAAATCAGGACTGAGCTGCGAACCAAATCCCGGCTTCACGGATTCCCGCGGCCGCTGAAGGTGAGGACTCAGGAGAGTCCGGTGTGTGCAGGTCTCGGCGACGGGTCGCGGTTCCCGGGCGTTTTCCATGGTTCCTGCTGGCCGTGGAACCCAATGCTGCATGGCAGGAATGGCTGGTGGGACCTTGGCACTTCACATGGATGGAGTGGAGACTGGTGCGGGAAGCCAGTGCTGCCTGACACACACAGCTCAAAATGGCGAACGGGCTGGGCTGTGACGTCGCACAGCAGTGCGGCGGTCAACGTCAGCCGAAAATTCCCCAAAAATTACCTACCCGCCCAACCAGGTAACAACCAATCGCACTCCCAACAAATTTCTTGCCAACAGCAGATATGGAACGGGTGAACACGAGAACTGGCCACGACACCAGAAAACAGAGAAATTGCAGCCCTTCTTTAGGGGTCCATTCGGGAATCCACTCCGGTTCCATCCGGCTGTCATCTCGGCAACAGCTTCAGCTTACAGCTCAGGCTCCTTCAGGCTGTCCATGCTTCAGGGGCGCTATGGGTACGGTACTTATTACGTATTGTACCTGTGATGTGTAAGTGTCTTTCCCAAGTAGGAAGACTGTTGGGCGTTCACGAAGTACCGGGGGAAAGAATGACGCTCGGTTTGTTGTGTGGCTTTTTGTACCATTACGGTCTGATGACCTGGCATCAAATTCCCCCCGAAGCTTCGGACAAGGTCAAGCTGTCCAAGCCTTCATTTTCTTTCCCTGAATTCTTCCGCGTTCGTTTTTTAGGGTTTTTACATAGATGAACCAGGAAGAGGGCAAGAGGAAGGCGTGTAGCCGGCAAATAGGCCCTCGCCGCCGTCGCCCTTGAAACACACACCGAAACCGTCAGACAAGCCTCTGTCGCATCGCCTAGCAGCCTCTCTCCCTCTTTGCTTGGACCCAGTCTGTACTCTACCGACTAAGAAACATTGGCATCCCATTGACCATTCTCTTGGTTGAGCTGAAGCACATGGGTAAACAAGGGGCAAAGTGGACGCTGCGCGCGTCGCCAGCAGCAAGCGTACAAAACGTCTTAAATAGTGTCACGTCCGGCTACCAGCGCGTTGGTTGGAGCCTGCGTCTGTCGTTCCTGTTGACAAAGGCTCTGGTGGCCCTGTCTCCCGTTGCAGCTAGCACTTCATTAACCGCTGCTTCTTCTTCTGGTCGTAATCATCCTAATAATACCACTAAGGTCACGCCGCAGGGGACCCTCTTTCTACACCTGGTCAAGCCCTGCCTCGACCTCGTCCCGTGGATATACAGTCTCGTTTTCCTCGCCCGCCTCCCTTTTCTCTCCTCTCCGCCGGTCCTCACACATGCAATGGCGTCGTATGCCCACAGCACATCCAGCTCCGACAACATCTCTACGCCCCGGTCCATTTCCCCCTCATCCGTGGCGTCAGCCCGGTCGTCGCACTCGTCTATATCTAGTTCCAAGCGCATGTCCATCTCGTCGTCGCGCAGGATCTCGGCCGCGAACCCAATGTCGTCTGTTGATATTGCTACCATTGAGGAAGCCATGAGAATGGCGAACCTCGACACCCTCCGCGGCTACGCCCAGAACCACTACGCCGAGGTGCACCAGTATGCCACGACCGAGTACATCACGCAAAACCAGGCTCTTGGCTACCAGGTGCTGAACGAGCCCATGTGGAACAAGGGTGAGTCAGATCCGGCTCCTTCCTTCCCCTCCTAACTTACTTGTATCTACTTTTCTCTTTCCCAATTCCCGCTCGGGATCCTATCCGTGTGTTCTGCCCAAAAATGGCTGCACCGTCAGGCCAGTGGCTCGGAGGAGTTGGAGCAGCGTTTGCACCTCGCTCTGCCTATTTACCTGTTCGACCCCGTCTTCCGCCGTCCATGTTCTGCCGTTCCGGCTCGGCCCTTTCGCTCCCTACGTCCTTCCCACTCAGGGCTTCGGTTCACGCCATGGCAACTGCTGACTTGTCGTATCGTCAAGGCCTCTCTTTCACGCCAGAGCAGCGTATTTCCAAGAACCTGACGGGCCTCATCCCGCATGTCATGGAAGACAGCAAGAAGCAGTGCGAGCGCGCGCTCAAGATGATCCGGACCCGCCAGACGGGCATTGACAAATACCTGTACCTGTCGACCCTGAAAAGGGAGAACGTCGACTTGTTCTACCGCCTTCTGATTGACCACGCCAAAGAGCTGATGCCCCTCGTGTACACGCCAACCATTGGAGACGTATGCCTGCAGTACTCAACGCTGTACACTCGGCCCGAGGCGCTGTACATCTCGATCAAGCAGCGCAAGTCAATTAGGACTATTCTGAGGAATTGGCCCTATGCGAACCCCGAGATCTGTGTTGTGACAGACGGCTCCCGCATTCTTGGTCTGGGCGATCTTGGCGTGAATGGCGTGGGAATTCCGGTAAGCGGCCTCGGCAGCCAAGCCCTCTCCGAATAAGGGCGGGTCCCAGCAGTGTGGTCGGGTAATTAACGTGCATATGTGTATTAGATCGGCAAGCTAGCCCTGTACACGGCTGCCGCCGGCATTCGTCCGGAAAAGACTCTCCCCATCGTCCTCGACTGCGGCACCGCCAATGAGACCAACCTCAAGGACCCGCTCTACCTCGGCCTGCGCGCCAAACGCGTACCGGTGCCTGAGCAGCAGGCCTTCATGGACGAGTTCATGGAGGCCGCCGCCGACGTGTACCCGGACATGGTCGTGCAGTTCGAGGACTTCGAGAGCGAGAAAGCCTTCAACTACCTGGACCGCTACCGCAACAAGTACAAGTGCTTCAACGATGACATTCAGGGTACCGGGGCTGTCGTCTTGGCAGGGTACGTTATTTCAAGTCAAACAGGTGCCATGCAGAGTCTGGACTAACGTCGCTGCAGCTACATTGGCGCCGTCAACTTGTCCGGCGTGCCTATAGAGGAACAGCGCCTGGTGTTCATGGGCGCTGGTTCCGCTGGTGTCGGTGTCGCCAAGCAGCTGGTCGAATACTACACCAAGCGCGGCTTGTCAGAGCAGGCTGCCAAAGACAAGTTCTGGCTCGTCGATACCAAGGGCCTCGTGACCAAGGACCGCGGCGACAAACTCGCCGATCACAAAAAGTACTTTGCCCGGACTGACAACAACGGCCACCAGTTCCGCACCCTCGAGGAAGTTATCGAGTACGTCAAGCCGACCGCCCTCGTCGGTCTTACTGCCACCTTTGGCGTCTTCACCGAGTCTGTCGTTCGCGCCCTGAAGGCTTCGGTCGACGCCGGCGGCCTTGGCCGCAGGCCCATCCTCTTCCCCCTGAGCAATCCTCTCAGTAAGGCCGAGTGCACCTTTGAGCAGGCCGTGACGTGGACCGACGGCACTGTCATTTTCGCTTCCGGCTCGCCCTTTTCACAGTTCACGGTCAAGGTTAGCGACCATGCCGTCACCTACTACCCCAATCAAGGCAACAATGTCTACGTCTTCCCCGGCATTGGTCTCGGCGCTATCCTTGCCAAGGCCAGCCGCGTCACGGACAACATGATTTACACATCAGCCGCCGCTTTGGCTGGCTCGCTCAATGCCGATGAGATTCACAAGGGTCTCATCTACCCGCGCATTGAGCGCGTCCGCGATGCCAGCATAATCGTCGCCCGAGAGGTCATGAAGGCAGCGCGTCGCGACGGCGTCAGCCAGTTGGCTGAAGAGCAATGGCTCGAGTGGGAGGAGTGGGGTGATCTCGCCCTCGACAAGTACATCAAGGCTCGCATCTACGATCCTCAGCTTTAGTCGAGAAATAATGGGGAAAAGGACCGAAGGCGAAGGGGTGACATCACCATGCGCTACTTCTCCTTCTGAAGAGGCTTTACTTCTACTCCCACTTCGTTAGGACTGCGCTCCTTTTTCGTCGCTTTCTGCCAACCAGCAAAGCATCTGCTTTTGGCCTGGTCAGCCTCCTTTTGTTTTGTTTTCCTCTCAGCTAATGATTCCCCAACGCGACTGGTTTGGTTGGTTTTATAGGGGTTTGGGCGGAACACGCGCGAGTATTTGCATGGACTAGGACTTTGCATTGGGACGGACAACACATACACTACATTGGGATTCTACACCGCACCCGCCACCATATTATGCGTGCGTGTTACGCAATTAGACGCGAGATGGGTGCTTTAAATGAGCAAGCGGCTCGTCAGTATGCCTAGGAATGGAAAAGGCTTTTATCCAATTTGATAGATGGGCGCCCAATGTTCTCAGTTGAGCACATGTCATTTCTATAGCTTGGGACCAGGGTAACAAATCTTAGAGATATCCATAACCATGCCGCGACCTCCTGATCCCTTGAGCTCACATTCAGGAATATCCGCGTCTCCCTGAGACATCAGACTTACCCGTACCGATGCCCCAGAGGCTATCACCTCCACATTGATGCAAGCAACCCGCAAGTAACTCGAAAGACCAGATTGTTAAGGCAGTAAATGACTATTGGTGTCCGTATCGCGGCGTGCCATATCATATAACCTGTCTTCCCTAACTCCATAGGTACTGTACCTTGGCGTGCTTGGGTAGGCATCATCAAAATAAGTAGGTATGCACAGAACGAGTTTCTCCTCCCAACCAGGTCCTAGCCGTGATCACGCCTGCCTAGCCCAGGGTCACGGCTCTCGCCGGGACATTGAACGTATCATAAAGTACGAGACAACGCAATGCGATGCATGTGTAAGTATATGTGTCCAACTCCCGTCCAAACCTCAGTCATGCAGTCACTCAAACCCCAGCCAACTTTTTATCCGCCCGCTCCAGTTTGGCCCTCGCCGCCGGATCCGCAACCATGCTCCTGTACCATCTTCTCAACAGGCCCACGTATTCGACATAGTTCTCATAGTCCTCCACTGGCGGGCCCTTAATCTGCGGCACGGTCCAGCTCGCACCCTTCTCCTTCTCGTCTCCCTCTCCCTCTCCGGCAGCATGGTCTGCTCCTCCTCCTTCAAACACAGCCCAAGCCGACTCCGACTGCGTCCTCAGCCCCCATCCCTTCTTGGTCAGCGCCTTGACCTGAAACCGCTGCAGGAGCGCCGCGTCGCCGGGCTTGACGACGGGCAGCGAGTCCTTGTGGGGCCGGTACAACTGCACCTCGACCACCCCCGTGGGCGCCATCGACGGGTCGGTGACGTGGAACGACATGAAGTACTCGCGGGGCCCGCCTTTGGCGCGGGTGGCCGGCGTGGGGTGGCTGGTCACGATGGCAACCACATTCGGGAACATCTCGTTGTGGTTGCGGAGGGACTTGAGGGGGACACACTCCGGGAGGTCGGTCCGCAGGCGCCTGGTGAGGTCCGATTTGAGCGCTCCAGGAGTGTCGGCCTTGGACGGGGACGCCAGGGCGGCCCTAGCAAGGTTGATGCTGCTGTCCGGTTCCTCTCTCTCCGGAGTGGGGTTCGTTTGCAGGCTACTAGATCGCGCGCGGGTAAGACGAGGGCTTGTGCGTAGCGGCTCGGTTGATTTCTTCGGTTCGGACGCCTTCTTGGAGCGTCTGGCCGCTACCGCCTGCCGAGCCAGCTGGATGCTGATATCTTGGGAGGGCGAGCCGAAAGGAGGTTCCGTCTGTGACTCGTCCACCTCAGTGAGGGATTGTCCCTCCTGGGCGGACTGATCTCCCGTGGTCAAGGTTGCCTGGGTGGGCGTCTTCGGAGTGCTGACTGGCTGCTCAATCAATTCTGGCTCCTGACCATGTTGGACTATGCTACTAGTCTTAGCCAGTGCTTGCTCCTGCCCATCTTGGTCGGCTCGAGAATGCAGAATCAACTCATCATCCAAAATAGGCCCCTCCATATCCGCATCTGTAGGCTGGGCGGGAATGCTGGACTCAGGAATAGCCCTATACTCTTCTTGAGTGCCACTGACTGTAACCATCCTCGGCGAGCGACCATCCTGGGTGCCGCTGATGACCTTGCGGCGGATGGACGGGCTTTCCTGGCCCCAGTACTGGGCTTCAATTGGACTGGAATGTACGCCCTCAATTGAATCCCCGGTCAAAAGCTCCGGGGTTTTCGCCCTTCGCTCCTCATACAGCTTCATCTCCTCAGCCAATTGGCTCTGCGAGGGAGTCAACGGTTCTTGAACTCCTCTCGGAACAGAACGCGATGACTCCGGGGACGCCGGAGGCGGAACTTCGTGCTCGGCCATTTCGGGCTCCAATGATTGAATAGCAGGTGACTCGGGCTCGGGGAGGAAGGCGTGGTTTTCGCCATTAGGCATGATGACTGCTGTCTCGCCGGGTTGTGGGACGTCGAGCTCTCGTTCAACTCCTGCTGAGGCTTGGGTTTGTGCCTCCTTCTGCACAGTTTGGTCGTCCAAGAGAGGATTGCCGGCTGGCCCAGCCTTAACAGAAGTCTCGGATACAGTCCCAGTGAACGTGGCAGCGGAAATCACTAGGTCACTGTACTCTTCTTCCCGAAGAGGCTGTGACGGCTGGTTTTCTTCGTGATCCCCGCCCTGGTGAGCCGAATCAACGTCGATCATATCAACATCGTCATCAGAGGTCACGATCTCTTCGACCCCCAAGTCCGATTGCACAGATCCTGCAGCATCTCCGAGTTTTGATGATCCATCCCCTGTCCTGTCTTCGTCTCCGACCAATTCCAGATCTTGACTCATTTCGACTTGGCTAGCAAAGGAGCCGCCATCATCATCCGTCAAGCTGCCTTCGCTATCTTGAGCTTCGTCAGGTTCTTTTGAAAGCCTGTCATCTTGAACGACCTCTTCCACTCTGATTTTGTCATCCTCCATGATGACATGGCCCTCGATTTGTCCTTCATCGGCAAGCCCATTTTCGCGGACAGTGCCTGTAACTTCGACAACATCGTCCGATTCGTAACCGGAGCCATCATCAATGGGCTCATCAGCGGCCTCGAAATATTCTGCTCGGGGTTGGGAAACAAAAAGGCCTTCCGAGGAAGCCTCGCTTGATGCACGCTCGGCATCTACGTTGCGGAAATAAGGGCGACTCTCGACTTCTTCGAATGAGTAACTGGCTTGGCTGGTAGATCGGGACGCTTCTGAAGGGCTATCTGTTTCTGCTTTCGGTGATCTCGGCTGAGCATTGACACGATCAAAACTCCCGAAGTCAATTACTTGAGTCTGGGCGAAAATGTCAGTGGCAGGCTGTCCATGCCCGGCGCCGAAGCCACTAGTGTCCCGCTTCTCGGACTCCACCATATCCGGGGAACCTCGATGCCTTGAACTGGTAGCATCCGGTGGACTAGTTGAACGTTTCGGGGATCGCTGTGCTGGATGTGTCTCGGTAGCAGGCGAGGGTTTTCTGGGTCCAGGGACCGGTTCATCGTCTTCCTCGGAGTCAGAAAGCAAGCTGATAACGACCGGCCCACTCGATTGTGCTGGAGCGGTTGGTTTCCTAAGGGATTGCGACAGATGGCTTCCCTCGTCGTGCTCGTGCTCGTCCTCCTCGTCCTCACTTTCATCATATCCTTCTTCCTCCTCATCCCAATATTCCCCTTCCCCATCCTCGTCATAGGTCTCGCTGTATCCATAGCGATCCCTTGCTTCCTGCTCTGCCTCATCCTCCTCCTCCGAAAGACCCTCGTCGTCGTCGGACGGAATATCATAGTGGCGTTGGTCGTAGTCACCCTGTTGGATTCGTCCGCCGTATGCATACTTGTCGTATGCAGCATCCTCCTCTTCCCCACCGCGATCACTGCCCTCGGCTGCATGGGTCGTCTCCCCATTCTCCACGGCGTTCTGATCTTGTGGAGGCTCTTTTAGAGGACCTCCAAAAGCCTCCTCACGGCCGTAACTAGCAAAGCCTGCCGGCACGTTCCTGGGAGTAACTTTGTCTGCATCAAGGGAAGCTTGCCCATCACTAATCACCGTTCCCTCATTCAGCGTATCGGCTCCGAAGTGACCCCCCTCAACCGGATTGTAGTAGGCGTTTTGAGTCGACACTTCCCATTGGCCTTCACGAAAATGCTGTACTGCAGGAGGCTCAGGGGCCATGTCCTGATCAGGCGCCGTGTATTCGGAATGTCCGTCTGCCGCATTTGCGTAGCTCGTCATATCAGCAATCTTAGCGGGAGCGGGCTGGTTGTCAAGGTAGGACTCTGGGTAAGCCTCGTGCTCCCTGTTGTCATTTTCATGGGCAGCGTCGTTCGTCAGAGCAATTGGGGCATGTGTAATTTGTGGGTTGTGAGAGAATCCGAATCGAACTTGATCTGCGATGCTCAGCGTTGACTCAGTGCTCGATGGCACGCCTGTGCCGAACATGGAGAAACTCGAGCCTGATGGCTTCGAATTGCCAAAAAGGGTGGCTGAATAAGTCTCGGAGTTCTTTGTAGGCGAGAGATTCGGCTGTGGCAGCTCGGCTCCTGTGACATGAGTAGTCTGATCCTGTGCTGATGGATCTTTTGATTGCCTCAGCGACGCTATTTGAGCCGAAGGATGAGATTCCTCATGCGAAGCTGAATCCAGCCTCTCAGATTCACTAGGCACAGATCGGTCTCTGCGAACTGGCTTAATGGAGGCAGATTCCCGCTCGGGGATATGAGCCTGATCCTGTTGAGCTAAGTCGGCCGAGTCCTCCTCAGGGGCGATCGGGCTCTCAGGCGGGGGAGGCGTAGCCACTTGCTGCGAAACACCAGAAGTAGACGCATTCGCACCAACCTGTGCTGAGACAGCCTCAGGAGTTGAGACCTCCATGGTCTGGCAACCCTCGTCCATCATCTCTGGTTTCGGCGAAGCTTGAGCTGCCGAATGGTCTGGCATGTCTTCATCCGCCATATCATAAACAGGTGAAGCAGGCTCGGGACTCGGTGACTGGCTGGTGTAGCGCCAGGCGTTGCTATCTCGCCCAAAACGGGTTCTCTTGCGACCCTTGCCCTTGACTCCGCCATCCTCTTCGAAGATATCGAAACCGCCCTCAAACAAGGCGCCGTATGAGAGTCTCGCCCTTTTGACGAATGCCGGCGAGGGATACTCGTTGGGTGGGAAATCTGATATCTTTCGAACGGTGGCATGTACATTAGTGACAGCCGGAACTGGGTCAGGCGTAGTCGCGCGGACCTCAGGCGCTGGTTCGGCCGGGGGGTCGGCTGCAGGATGGTCAATGTCGATGTGCTTCACCTCGTTCGATTCTTCGGATTTGACCTAGCAAGAAATCAGATTATCGAAACACATTTCTGGTCCAATCCATGCAGACCTGTAGAAGGAGTCGTTCGTTGAACTGCAGTTGCCAGTCCAGTCTCGCGCCAGGGATGCGGCCTGGCGAATTATCCTTGGCCCATTCCACGCCATCAAGACTGCAGAGTATCTCGTCGCCCGCCCCGAGGTTACACGCAGAAAGTGCTTTCGCACTCGGGCCCCGAAGCTCGATCCGGACCTGGCCCTTGGCACGGCGGAGGCGCACGTCTGGTTCGGCGAGCAGGAAGGCAAGCGTCTTGGTGACGGTACTGTAGGGCCATGTAATTGTGACCTCGCCCCGAACGACGCGAGATGGTTGATCTGGCAAATCAGGATTTAATTGTGCAATCGGCGTTGCGGGTCGCGACGCCAGCAGAGTAGCGCTCGCGCCATCAACCGACACCATGGCGCAAGATGAGGATGGGTGGGATAGAGCTAGGGTGAGAGTGGTTGGGTGATTATGCCATCGCCCGGGAGGTATTTTCGCTTTCTGGTCGTTTTCAGAAGGAGATAAGTCCAGCGGCTACCTAAACACGTTGGTTGGAAGAGAATTAAGGTCTAACGCACAAAGCCCGGGTGATGGCGTGTAATGGCAGTGGTGCTATGGAGCTTGAAAGCACGCGTTTGCCCGGGCTGGCATGAGCTTCAGCTCACCAATGACGCTGCGGTAGGCGGCAGGGAGCCGTTAAGTGGGGAGCAAAGCTTCAACTGCAGCTGCTAACGTTAATTAGTGCCCCACTGCACCGTTGGCTACAGTAGCACTACACTGAGAACACTGTAGTACCGTACTGTGCTTAGCGCTCCGAGTCGAACTTGAACGACTCAAACCTCACTGCAGGCTATCACGCAATAGGTACTAACCTATAAGGGACTCATACAAGAGGAACTTGAAGCTGGCCAGCAGTTTCCAATTTCACTTTCCTTCTTGCAGTCACTCGCTCGGAGTTGGTTCATAATAACCTCGGGTTGGAAGTTCTTCATCCATCATCCCAGTCGCACTTGCTGCATTCCTTCCTTCCCCGCCATGGGCTCTCAAATTCCCCCAAAACGATTCGATATCAAGAGCGTGGCCGTCATCGGCGCTGGGCCTTGCGGTCTTGCCGCGGCCAAGTACCTGGTCGCCCAAGCCGCCTTCAAGAACATCGTCATATTTGAGCAGCAGTCCGAGGTGGGAGGAGTCTGGAATTACAGTCCCAACCCGCCAAACACGCTCCATGTGCCTCAAGTGAGCACCGACTGCGCTCCCGAACCGCCCTTGCTGTTGCGTCGAGGCGATGCCCCTGTCTTCCCGTCGCCAATGTATGAGGTCTTACACACAAATATTCCCCGGGCGCTGATGCCTTTTTCGGATCTTGCTTTTCCAGATGATGCCCTCATTTTTCCCTCCAGGGAAGACGTGCAGGAGTACTTGGTCAGATACTCCAGAGATGTCCGTCATCTCATACAATTCTTCACGCAAGTCAAGGACGTTCGTCTGAGGCAAGTTGAGGGCAAGGACCAGTGGGATGTAGACGTGGTCCGCCTTCGGACAGGCGAGATCTCAACAGCTACATACGACGCCGTTGTCGTGGCCTCTGGTCATTATGCTGTGACTTACATTCCGGATGTTAAAGGGATAACAGAGTTCCATGCGACAAATCCCGGGGTCATCTCACATTCCAAGCATTACCGAACACCGACACCCTTCGCCGGCAAAAAGGTTGTTGTCGTCGGTAATGCCGCTTCAGGTCTTGACATTGCTGCGCAGATTAGTCCACTTTGTCGAAACCCTCTTCTGTTGTCTGTGCAGACAGCCACGTCACCCGCGAATCTGGAGTTTTCTGGGGCCCAAGAGGTTCCAGTGATCGAAGAGTTCCTCGCAGCGGAAAGAGGCATCAGGTTCCAGGACGGGAGGGTCGAAAAGGACATTGATGCCGTCATCTTTGCAACGGGCTATCTCTATGCTTTCCCCTTCCTTCGTTCGCTAAACCCGCCGTTGGTGACGGACGGCCGGCGGGTTCACGGCTTATACAAGCATCTCTTCCGCATAGACAACCCAACGTTAGTGTTCCCCGGGCTCCCCATCAAGGTGGTGCCGTTTCCGTTTTCCGAGAGCCAGGCGGCCATGTTCTCGAGGACATGGGCGAATGTGCTGCCTCTGCCGTCACCCGAAGAGATGCGGGCATGGGAGGAGGAAGAGGCCAAGCGACGAGGTCTCAAATTCCATGTCTTCCCAGAGGGCGGTGATTCCGAGTATATCAACTCGGCCCACGATCAGATTGCAGCTTCGAACACTCCGGGAAAGGAACCGCCGCATTGGGGCCTGGAGCAGGTGTGGCAAAGGCAGATCTACTCCCAGGCCAAGTTGGCGTTCGAATTGGGCGGGCGGAATGCCAAGACCCTCGAAGAACTTGGTTTTACCTATGCGCCCATATCAGAATGACCATTGCGCATCCGCTCGTTGCTAAACTGCACAATACGCATCATTCCGGCCCAAGCTCCGGGGACTGGGCGAGCTGGGCTAGTTTCGTAGGGCTTTGTCCCGATCCGGAGTCAGCCACATGCGGGTCTCAGAACTTGCGCTGATCACCGGCTGATCGGTGCCAGAGCAATGTCTCCGATTGAGACCGGGCCCGGAACCGAATGCGAATAGCTTCCTTACACCCACGACATCCGGGGAAGTTGAGATCAAGATTTGGAAATGGCCCGGGTTTATGGTTCCTGCGGAGACAGCTCCTGCTCCGCCGCCCCGGCCACTGGGCCAAGCCAAGAGTCAGTGGTCGCCTGGTGGGGTTACCCAGGTGAACGGATCCAACGTCGCCCCTTTCCGCCAGCCGGCGGCTCGGAGACAAAGCAAACCGAGGATTTATAAGCATTAGCGTGGAGCACCTCGGACTTGATAACGTCGACCCTTGTGAGGATTCGCTGGACGATAAGTTGCCAGCAATGTAAAGAGTTTAGTATTCAATGGTTTTTCTTGATATAGAAGCAGGCACCATAAACTTTGCGTTTGGTACATACACTCACTGCAGTACCACGACAGCAGAACTGCAGAGCTGCAAATATGGAAAACGTCCTAGTCTCCCGCGGTAATCATCATGACGCCCATGACTGTCTGACGGGCAGTGAGAAGCCGCCGCCGCTAGATCTCAGTCACCATTTCTCTGAAGTGACGAAGCGACGTACTGCCAGCAAGATCAAGCAAGCTTACAAGTTCTTCCAAATCCCAGGCATCTTGAATGTCGCTGGCGGTTCGTGTCCTTATCTCACTGGCTCTTATCTCTCGTCGCATCTCAATCTGGCTGCAATTCCGCTGATGCTGACGCGCTACACGTCCTCAAGGTCTTCCAAATGTTTCTTTCTTCCCGTTTGATACGCTTGAAGCGCAGGCGGCAAAGCCGGAACGATGGACTCCATCACCGAATCATCCCGGCGAATCCGTGGCTGCCGCAGGCTCATCAAATCCTACGGCGGCTTCCCATATCGTCGTGCCCAAGAGTCTAGATGAGAGAGACCCCCTGAAGAAGATTGATCTTGCTTCAGTTCTCCAGTACGGCCTTGCCCAGGGTTATCCCCCGTTGTATTCATGGGTTCGCCAGCTCACCCGCGAGCACCTGCACCCAAACACCCCCTACCGTGACGGCCCCGAGGTGATCCTGACCTGCGGCTCAACCGACGGCTTCTCCAAGACGCTGAACCTGTTGGTGGATCAGTGGACCGAGGGCGTCAACGACGTCACTGAACGTCCCGGCTTACTCTGTGAAGAATTCCTCTACACCAATGTTCTTGCTCAGTCTATGCCTCTGGGCACGCAAATTGTCACAGTCAAATCTGACGAGTCCGGTATGGCCGCCGGCGGCCCCGGTGGATTGGAAGATGTGCTGGCAAACTGGGACCCTTCAAAGGGGAAGAGGCCGCACCTCATGTACACCGTCACGTAGGTGGTTCACTTTCGTTTGGCTTCTCGTGTTTGCCTCTCCTACATTCACTGACCCGCCTCGCAGATTGGGCCACAACCCCACCGGCATCGTGCTGTCGGTCGAACGCAAAAAGGAAATATACGCTGTCTGCAGCAAATACGATGTGATTATTATCGAAGACGAACCATACTGGTATCTCCAATTCCCCTCGGCCGCGGTTGAAGAAGCCAAGTCCAGGGGCAAGCCAGTCCCAAGCCCGCCGGTTCAGTCACACCATAAGCCTAACCGCTCCTCTGGCTACCCATTCCTTGACAGCCTGACACCCTCCTTCATCGACCTCGATGTCGACGGCCGAGTCATCCGTCTAGACACATTTTCCAAGACGGTCGCGCCTGGCTGCCGCCTAGGCTGGATTACCGCCCAGCCAACCTTCATTGAACGATTCGAGCGCATCACCGAGGCAACGACGCAGCAACCCTCGGGCTTTGTACAGGGCCTCATCTCAGAACTCGTGCTGGGACCCCAGCACCAGCCGGAATCATCAAGATCTGCCTTTAGCCTTCTTCGCAGTTCGCGCGAGAAGGCAACTTTCACCGGCTGGAACATGGATGGCTGGGTCCGGTGGCTCGAGGGCCTCCGGGGAATGGTACGTATACATATACACGCATTGCAGACTTGATCCTTTCCTTTCACCCTTTCTCTCGACGTTTATTCCTTGTCTTCTCTAACCATGCCCTAGTACGAACGCCGGATGGTGCGCATGTGCCGCATCCTTGACTCGGGCGCCCGCCTCATTTCCGTTAGCAGCAGCAGCAGCGGCAGCCGCCCCTCCTCCTCCTCCACCTCGACAGACGAACAAGACACCCCACTAACCGTCTCCCTCTCCCCAACCCCTCTCTACACCTTCTCGTGGCCGCGCGGGGGCATGTTCATCTGGCTGCGGATGCACCTCGAGTCGCACCCGCTTTGGGGGACGCCCAGCCCGAAGCTCGGCGGCAAGCCGCTCGACGGCCTGCCGCTGTCGACAGCGCTCATGGTGTTTTTGACCACCAAGCCGTTCCGCGTGCTGGCGGGCAACGGCGCCATGTTCAGCGCCAACGACGAGGTCAGGCAGCGCATGGGCTGGGCCTACTTCCGCGTCTGCTTCGCCGCCGAGACCGAAGATAACGTCGACGTCGCGGCGTCGCGGTTTGTGGATGGCGTGCATGCTTATTGGAGGGTGCGGGACGTGGCTGTCATTGAGAAGCTTTTGGAGAGTCTGGAAGATCCGGGGAAAAGTGGGCTCGAGGAGGGGGAGGAGGAGGTTCAAAGGGAGGATGCGGAGGAGCATGGCTTGTTCAGGTTGGCGTCGTATATGGGTTGCTAAGTGGCATGCTTGGCTCTTGTTGTTCCCCTTTTCATTGGTATCAGACTCGCGTGCTGAATATTGCGCCAGAGTTAGAAGTATGGAAACCAAACCAGGGATAGATGCGTCGATCGATGACTTGTGCAGGCCAAAGGGAAGTAGTCTTTCAACCCACTTAGGTATTGGACCACAACGAAGGGGGCTGGTGACCGTGCTGTGGGTCGGGGTATATAGGGAAGTTTTCGGTTTCAGGTCGTCAACAGGAGCCGGTACGTCATTGAACCATTTCAATGGCGATTTGGCGTAGCGGTTCCAGCGTAGGCGTAGAGAAAATACCTGGACGACACGAATGTTACTGTCCCGGACATGCTGTCTAGGCTCGCACGCCTGCCTCTCTTTTTGGGATTCGATTCCTCGATCGATCATCTTTTTGGAGCTTCTGTTTCTTTCTGCTCTTCATCTTTCTTTATCTCTTGTAATTTCACTTGACTGGACATACCATCTTATCTTGGTCTCAATTAATGCTAAGTATTCATGACATGCCCATGTCTGTTCATCTACCGATACTTGGATGGAATGATGGGCGGACCTAGCTCTTTCCTTATCTCATCAAACTGTTCCACGCCGTTTTTCCATTTGCCCTTCTTCACTCGCTTCTTGCCATGCATCGAGTATTCACCGAGGAACTCGTCTAACAGGCCATCAAAATCAGCCCGCGTAGGCCCCTGCACCGTCGACATTGTTGATACCGCTGACACGGAACCCATGTCGTCCATGTCTGCATTATACTCCTCCTCAATCTTCTCAAACCGCGCATCCAGAATACCCAGCTGCTCTGTCCTGACAAGCGAGGACGACGTCATGGAATACGTCGAGGGGTTTGTCAGAGCCCCTTTCCTCGTCTTCCTCCGGCCACCATTCGTCGTGGTCGTCCATATTGAAGACTGAATCTCGGACGGCGCCCCAGCAGCCTTCGGCTTTTTCTCCGCCTTCTGGTCGCTCTTGAACTTTTTGAAATCTTCCATCCAGTCGTCCGAAGGGCCTTCTGTCGGGTTGGCGGCATCCGCAGTATCCTTGAACTCAGGCACTTCGTCTTCAATGTGGTGCTCCCCGGTGGCTTTCACAGTGCGGTCCGATTCCCAGCCTTCATCGTCGTCTTCAAATCCGTCATATGCAACCTCAAACTCGTGCTCGTCAAGCTCCCTAGCGTCCTTCGCGAGCTCCTGGAAAATGTCCTCCCCCCCCTCCTCGTCGACATAGGCGTCGTCCTCTAGTGCCTCTAATACCTCTCGCAGGCGCGGGTCCATGCCCGGCTGAAACCCGGCGATTGCGTCGGGCACATCTTGCTGCGCCTGATAGGTGAGCTTCTGGAGGTTCTTGCTGGGCAGGATATCACTGTCAAGAAGATCCTCGGACTGGTTTTGCAGGTCGAGTTGGGCCAGGGCATCTGCTAGCGATTCCTTCTGCTTTCCCTTGCCCTTGTTTAGAATCGGGTTCGCCTCAACAAAAACAGCCTCGCCAGAGCCCTGGCCGAGGTCCCGGAGATGCTGCATGTAGTCGTACTCGGTGTCATCGTAGTAGATGCCGTAATTGGCTGCCTCGCCTTCATTGTCGCGGATGCTCTGGGCGTCGGAGCCAAGCTCGGAGGCGAGATCACTCAAACCCTTCCCCTTGGACTTTTTGGACCGCTGGGTCGGGTTGAGGACCATGGACGGTGCGGACTCATCATAGATGAGGGGGTCATTTTGCGGACGGTGTACTAGGGTGAAATGCGTCGCAGTCTTTTTGTCGCTGTGAGGGGTCAGCTGGTGGTTCGGCGACAGGATAGAATGGGAATCGCATACATCCACTTTCCCTTGGGCATCTTGACAGCGATGAGACGGCTAGTTTTAGAGTCGATTTGTACGCAAACAATTGAACGAAAGCCAACGAGAGAAGAAGGGCAGGGCAGCAAGCGTTTAGTTTGATACCTTCCGCTTTCGCACCGCTGTAAATCGGGCACACATGGGAAATATTTGGTGGGGTAAGGCTTATCGATAACAGCTCAAGCGGCTATGACCTAGCACTAACAGCTCGACTGACTTCCCAATAGAGGTACCCTCGGAGAGTCGTGTAGGGGTATGAGTTCATTTACGTTTTGTTGATGAGACGGATTATTTGTAAGTTGGATCTTTCGCACTGAATGTATACATATCATATTATTGCTACTGCCAAACTTGAGCTGCGGCGACTGAGAAGGATGACGTTCTGTTCTGGGAGACTCGGTAGGTAAGGGACTATCGAACCCAGGCCTAGGAGTTAGCCACTCTGTGCCAGACAAATTTGCCCCTCGATTTATCAGCAACAGTCATTTCTCGTTCCTACATACAAACACTTCTCCAGACTAATTCCTCCCTCGCCTACATTCCGTGATAGCGGCTGCCGTTCTGAACACACGGCCAAGCACTGAGGGCAGCGCCGATAACGTTACAACAAAACTTGGCGGGATTCAAGTCTACGACGGCCAGATCGCCAACATGGTGCTTCCAAAGTCTAAAAAGTCCGTCGGTCTCGGCAACTCGCTGATGAACGACCGTTTCGGCAAAGGCAAAGGCACCGACCGCAAACGAGCATCGGCAGTCACCCGCATTGATCATAGTACCGGCAAAGAGTACATCACAAATGACAGGCAGGAGGCGGCCTGGGTCAAGATGCGCTCCGTCACGGAACAGGGCGCCCTGGATGAGTTCCTGGCCACTGCTGAGCTAGCCGGGACAGACTTCACGGCCGAGAAGATGAACAATGTCAAGATCATTCACACTGATCAGCGCAACCCGTACTTGCTCTCTGCTGCCGAAGAACGGGCCGTGCTGGGTAAGCAAAGAGAACACAAGGGACGGCTTACGGTTCCAAGAAGACCCCACTGGGATGCATCGACAACACCAGAGGAACTAGATCGCCTCGAGCGTGACAGCTTTCTGGAGTGGCGAAAGGGGCTGGCCGAGCTACAGGAGACGCAGGATTTGCTGATGACTCCGTTCGAGAGAAACATTGAGGTTTGGAGGCAGCTTTGGAGGGTGATTGAGCGGTCGGACGTTGTCGTGCAGATCGTGGATGCCAGGAACCCGCTCATGTTCCGGTCCGAAGATCTCGAGGCATACGTAAAGGACGTTGATCCGAAAAAGCGGAACCTTTTGCTCATCAACAAGGCCGACATGATGACGTACGCGCAGAGGAAAGCCTGGGCGAACTATCTCAAAGGCGCCAACATTGCCTACAAATTCTTCTCCGCGCATCTCGCCAAGGAGATGCTCGAGACACAAGAATTTGAGAGCGAGGAAGAAAGCGAAGGGGAGAGCGACCAGGCTGATCCCAGCGAGGAAAGCGCAATTACGAATAAAGACCACACAGCTGAAGCAGAGAGCGAAGATGATGCGGCGGATGACTCTGCGCACGGGGATGACGACGGGGAGGCAGACACCAGGATTCTGACCGTCGACGAACTCGAGAATATATTCCTACAGTACGCTCCGGCAGACGCCGGTAAGTCTATGTAACCTGGCACTCACCCTTATCAGCCATACTAATTCAACTAGGGCCGGACCGGAAACTTCAGGTCGGCCTGGTAGGCTATCCCAACGTCGGAAAATCGTCAACCATCAATGCGCTCATTGGAGCCAAGAAAGTCTCGGTTTCGTCGACCCCCGGCAAGACCAAGCATTTCCAGACCATCCATCTTAGTGACAAGGTAATTCTTTGCGATTGCCCTGGTCTTGTTTTCCCGAATTTCGCCAGCACCAAGGCGGAACTCGTTTGCAATGGCGTCCTCCCAATAGATCAGTTGCGAGAATACAGCGGGCCCGCTACCCTTGTGGCACGCAGGATTCCGCAGCAATTTCTTGAGGCCGTTTACGGTATCCAAATACGTACGCGGCCTCTGGAAGAAGGAGGTACTGGAGTTCCGACTGGAGAAGAGCTACTCAGCGCATACGCCCGCCACAGGGGTTTCATGACGCAAGGACTGGGCCAGCCGGATCAGTCCAGGGCAGCGAGATACATCCTCAAGGATTATGTCAATGGGAAGCTGCCATATGTCGAACCCCCACCGGGCACCTTGGACCCTAAGGAGTTCAACCGCGAGCTCTACGACATCGCGCAGATTCCAGCCAAGAGGCGGGTAGCATTGATTTCTGCAATGGAAGACTTGGCGGTTGAAGGGGATGACAATGCGTCGCTTCTCTCCGATATGATTCCGCTGCCCACAGGTGCCAAGTCACAGAGGCTTGACAAGGCATTTTTCAAATCTGGACAAGGAACCGCTGGCCACTTGACACGGCCATTCAATTATAAATACTCGGAGCAAGGGATGGCTGCTGCAGCGGCAGGGAAGCAATTAAGCGGGCGTAAGCTCCGGACTATGATTGCCCTTGAAAAGGGGATCGATCCCAAGGATGTCCAGCTGGCATCAAGCAAGAAGCACTTCAAAGGCGGGCAAAAAGGGCGAGGGAAGAACCGCGGAAATAAGGCTGATGACGACGACTGAAGATGCATGGAGGTTAGGGGTCGGAACCTAGAAAAGTTGCAAGCCAGGTCTGGCTGGCGTGTTATGAATCCCGTTATGAAAGTAGAGATGCTTGAATTGAAAGAGAGCTAGCTACTACAACTTTCATCATAGCCTATGAAACAACTCGAAAAGAAGACGTCGCCGCTTACTCGTGTAGTTATGTCTGGAGCCCAATGACCAGCAGTAAGCCTCAGACATTGACATCTGAACAAGTCCTTGTCAAGCTTCAAGCTAGCTGGGGTGTAAGCCGCTTTTTGCGCGCTATCACAGCTTCCTAGCCTGCTCACGGATAGAATTGAGACCAACCCAGGTAGCTACGTCTGACTGTAGCTTCCAAATGCCAGGACAACAAGTGGATAGAACCTTCCCAGAAACACTAACGAGAGCAGAGTGCGCTACCTATAAACCACCCCCCCCCCTCTCTCCCCCTTCGCCCTCACTCTCACCCTCACTCACTCTTCTCCAGTACATACCGTATAAACTCGACAAAGTGAACAACTTCTACTGCACAGACTACGGCAAGCGATGTGCCTAGTCAAACATTTCACCTACTTCAAACCCTGACTCGACCTAGCATCGCGTCAGCAAGGTGAAGGTCATCGCATAGGTGATGCAAGGCTGGGATTACGGTATGGAGAGCAAGTTGGAGTGCAGCTCCATTGTTCGGTACTTGCGCTAGTGATCACATTAAACCCTAACCCGATTCCTTCCTTGGCATGCGCGGCCCGAGACCCAAAAATTTCCCTGATCGATCTTCAACCCATCTCATTGCAGCTTTTGGTGAAGTTCCGTGTGCTAACATCAACCCTGCGGCGCGCATTAACCATGGCAAGCCTTCGCGGGTTGTCAAGACCGGCCCGCAGCCTTCCACTGTCCCAATTACCGCGCCAGACATATACAGCATGTTCGATAAGATGCGCCTCGTCACAAGCCGCCAAGGCCGAGGCCGAGGAAGACCTTCAAGAACTCGAAACGGATTCTCTGCTCCACGCGCCGCCATTAAGCGAGGAAGAGAAGAGGCAGTTTAGGCCATGGAAGCGTGCATTGGACAGACAATTCATGCTTCCGAGCGGGAGGTATGCGACAGCAACCTGAACTTCTTCTCTATTCCTCTTGAACAATTGCTAAAGGGCGAACCCACCTCAGATACCAATACCACCCGCCCAAGTATAACCGCGGCCCGCTCCATCCCATACAGTCGCCGCCATCCTCAGATCCTGTAGCCCGAGACTTCGTCCCAGGGCCCTTCAACTTCCCCCGCCTAAAGCACACGTATCAGTCCACCATCGCCCCCGACCTGATGACGCTCCTGTACGAGCACACGCCCCCCGGGACGCCCAAGAACGAGACTCCGCAGCGGCTACGCGGCTGGGACGGCTCCTCGCCGTACCACAAGAACCGCCCGCTCCGCGGGCCGCGCGGCGGGCCGAACCTGCCCCTGCTCGAGCGCGACATCACGTTCAAGAACATACCCGAGATCAAGGAGGTCACGATTGCGAGCTACGTGCCCGAGGCGGTCAAGGATCCGGAGCATCTGCTCGCGGCCAGGACGGCGATGCTCGCCTTGACGGGAACGCTCCCTACAGTCACAAAAACAAAGCACAGCATCGCTCAGTGGGGCATCAAGGAGGGGGAGAAGGCCGGCGTGAAGACGACCTTAATCGGGAATGCGGCGTATGAGTTTCTGGATCGTTGCATTCACTTGGTGTTTCCGAAGATCAAGGACTGGAAGGGTATTTCGGGTGAGTGAACGACAAGATACAGGAGTCTGGAGATGGGCCTGATGTGCTGACGGGGGAACACAACATAGCAACGACTGGAGACGGTTCGGGCAATCTGGCTTGGGGCTTTACCCCCGAGGAGTTGAAGCTGTTCCCGGAGATTGAGGTCAACTACTCTGTAAGTTTGCAGACAGGCCCCGAATTACCCAGGATTACGCTAACCAAAGTCCACAGATGTATCCTGCTAAGGTAACAGTCGATGTCTCTGCACCCTAAGATCCTTACTGACTCCAATTCCAGATGCTCCCCGGATGCAGAGTGTTTGTAAAGACAACAGCAACTTCGGACAGGCACGCGCGGTTGCTCTTGCAAGCTATGGGCGTTCCCTTTTATGGAAAGGTCTAAGACCATGTAGAACTTGAATAATGAGTTCGCTTGTACAATACCCTTTCTGTATACATTGTAACACCACAGGGAGAACGTCACGCCGCGGCGGCAGGAACATAGACGACCTTTGCCCATTTCTATGTTATGTTTATATCCCGGTATATCCCTTCCCATGGAAACCTCCTTACGAGGTCCAAAGAGCCCGTTTTAACCACCAAAACGCCGCCCATGCCGAGAAGAAATAGAGAAAGAGGGTGGGGAAAAAGGCTCCCTTCGTATCTTCTATGCCTTGGCCGTCTCAGCAACCCTCTGCTTCAACCACCCCATAATCTCGTCCACCAAATCCATATCGCTTGCATCCAGCTTATCCCCCTTGCCGTGGTCCTGCCCGTTTTTCCTCAACTCCTGCGCCGCAACGTCCATGGCGGGCTGGTAGTTCCGCACGGCCGAGCTGAGCGCGTAGATGGCCTTTTTCCGGACGGACTCGTGCTCGTCGTCGCGCAGCGCCAGCCCCACCAGCGGCGGGATCCCGCCCATGGCGAGCAGCCGCTCCTGGCTGCGCACATTGTTCTGCACGGCGGTGCCAACGCACCACGCCGCCATGAGCCGCAGCTCGCGCTCCTCGTGCGCCAGCAGCGACAGCAGCGGGGTCCAGAGGGAGAGGTTCTCTAAGTTGTTGGCGTTGTCGAGCGACTCGATCAGCTGCTCGAAGTTGTCGAAGGCGATGAGCTTTTGGTCAAGCTCCACGCTGGGGTCTGTGATCACCTCCATGGCCGCCTTCATCAGCTCCGCGTCTGAGGGCCCGCCTAACAGCGCGGCGAGCACGTCGCGGTCAAGCGTGCTCGTCCTGGCGCCGGCTTCAACTCCTTCGTTGGATTGTGGTGGTGGATTACTGTTGTCGCCGGTTGAGGGAACTGAGTTCTCGATACTCCATTTCAGGAGGTTGTTCAGATTTTTGTCCATGATGCGAGGGGTTGCGGTATGGTAATGAGTAGACGCCGATGGGATGGTGGGTAGGAATTTATTGCTGACTTCAATAGCTTCCGAGCCGTGCTACCGAGCTTAAACCGTCGAGAAAGGATAGGGCATAGGACTGTATTCCGGACACTACTCGATGTGCTCCCTTCAAGTGATGGGTTCTTTGGGGATGAATATATTGCTGGCCCAATGTTGCCTGCCGGGGCTAGTTGAACTGTGGCGTTCGTGCACTTTCAAGAACTTTCTATCCCAATCAGGCTAGCTCAAAGCCATCTAGGTGCTGGAGCCTGGTTTTTCATGAAGACTGCGATGGCTTAGGAGTTTAGTGAACTGAAAGTTCGAGGTGATATGTCTGTATATGAACGAAACCGACCTCCCAAGCCTTAACGGAGTCAAAGACAGTCAGATATCTCATATATTTCACCTCCTTAACCCTGTACGAAGAGTTGCCCCTCCAGATCTCAGGAAAAATGTGGGGCGGGCTGCCCCTCATTGTTATTTTAGCCAAAGAACCTCCATCACAGGCTTGTCTTGATTTACTCCGTACAGAGCACGGTATTCCGGGTAGTATTCACTTGATAATCCTGCATCTCATACTACCGGAATGACATACAGAAGTTGTGCCAACATGGGAGACGGGAACACCACCCCTGATGGCGGTATTTAAACGTATCCTGGATCCCTTCTGCCAAGACCCGAGAGAGATGGAGGCAAATGACGACTTCTGGCTCATGGAAGTACTTCACATGGCCGGTCGCCATGCATCTGGGACCAACACCTTTGAGAGTAGCTAGGGAGGGGGTGTTGTATGCTGACTATCACGGAGAAGCAGTGATCTCTTCCAACGCAAGATCCTTGACTCGTTCACCCAGCCCATCAAGCACCATCGGCGCAGACATGCCCGAACCCATGCTGAGGATATCTGGCGGGAGCTGCGACTTGGTGCTCTCGTCATACCAATCAATCAGCGTGCACTCCTCCTTCTCCCGCAGCTTCCTCTCCACAATGGCCTCCATCCCAGCAGCCTGTTCCGGTGACAGCAGGCTGAGCCTCTCCATGAAGTCGCCCTCCCTCTTCCCAAAGAAGCGCTCGTCGATGCTCGTCCAAAAGATGCCATCAAAGGCCCACGATTTGCGCGCTGCGTACGCCACCCAGAAATCCCCCGTCTCCCAGCTGCGGCGCATGCGGGACGACAGCACCTGCGACTCCTGGAGACGCCCCTTCGCGATGAACTCGCGCTCCTTGGCTTCCATGGCCCGGAGGAAGATTTCGAGTTGCGGCGCGTAATGCGCCGCCCAGTCGTCGAGTCCCTCGTTCCACTCCTCGGGCATGACCAGTAACAGCCACCAGGGCGGCGAATACGTGAACTCGATGGGGGCGGCGTAGGTGAATTCCCAATCGATGACGCCGACGATGCGGTGGTTTTCGTCGACGAGAATGTTGGCCGGCCGAAGGTCGTCGCACCAAAGCTTGAAGGGCTCGCCGCCTGTCTCGGGCGATGTCAGCCGGCGCTCGGCCGCTAGTTTGCGGAACAGCTGTCTGATTATCAGTTAGCAGTGTGGCTTGACAACTTACGGATCTGGACCTTGAGCTCCATTGAGCAGATTTCTGCGGCACTATCCCACCTTGCGATGTACTTCTTGCGACAATCATCAGCCGACTCGACGGCCTGGTTGCGCTGAAACGACAGCTGCTGAAGATGCATGTCGGCAAGCGCAGAACAGTATTCAGAAGAGCTGGAGAAGGTTTGGGGTGTGGCCGGTAGGTCGAAGTAAGGAACGCCTCCGACTTCCCCCAGCTGTGTAATATTGAAAGACAATGGGCGGCAGATGACGTCCGGGTCCCCCGGGTCGCTGTCATTGTCCTCACCATCCTTGTAACCGAGAGAGCCGATTCGAGGGAATTCACACAGAGACAGCTGGATCATAATGTCCGCTATCTGGCCGTACAGGTACTCAAGCTTTTCTTCACTTATCTCCGGGTTGAGAGGCGCCCCTTCTGTCAGCGGGCGGTCTGGCGAGTGCAAAACGTCGAGAAGGTCTCCAGAGTTCTCGATGTACTCCATGATGGTAAAAGGGCCAAGCTTTCCAGGACTCTCGTCCGTCAGACCGTAGTGAAGAATAAAGGGTACGGGAATAGTTGTGTGCTCCTTGATATAGCGCATCACAGCTACTTCAGCATGGAGTTTCTCCTCGGCGATTCGGTAGAAGCCTGGAAGAGGGAAGCGAATGATGACAGACTTGCCGTCAGAGTATTGGATTCGGTAGTAATAGTTGAAGCCTCCTTTCCGTGGAGGGAAGAACGTCTTCGGACTGCCGCCTTTTCGATGTTTTGTGACGAACCTTGCTATCTCATAATAGAAGTCCTCATTGTGAACTCTGTCCAGTATCGCTTCGAACATGGCCTCGCAACGGTCCCAGGCGTCATCGTCATGGTACTCATAAGATGGTGCCATACGAAGTCGGGACAACCGATAGTTGCTTGTGTTTCTCATAGAACAAAGCGAGGGAGAACAGTTGGTGCGCCCAAGGCGTTGTTGGTTTCATACAGAAACAAGGAGCTTCCGAAATGCAGCGAGGCGTCAAATATCGGCAACCGCTCGAGGGGATGCTGAGTAGGAGAAAACAGTGTGATCATGGCTCGCTCAGCCAGTCCCACGGCTAGATAAGTCATCTCTCTTCTTTTCATCCGATACAGATCCAACCTTTCTCGTCGCCTAGGAAGAAGGAAATGCCTAGCTCAATAACGGCCGGATCGTGTCACCGGGACAGAGCCGCATGGCGAAGAGCGCAGCGCAACTATACCTGTAATATGGCTGTCTGGAATTCCACTTCAAACCGAAGCTTCCAAGCCGGCCAATTTGCCTTCCATGCATGCATACGCACACCTCTTGAGGCTCTTGAGAGTTAGCATACCAGACAAAAGGAACTGCCAAGAAATGGAATGACGGTGCCTGGAGCGTTGTTGTCTTACTGTGGTAAAGTTCCCTCCAAGTTGATCACAGCGTCAGGCGCATCTGCGGGCCTGCAAATCACACTGTGACAGTACCCAAACGGGATTGCACATTGTTGAGAATCCACGCTGGGCCACGCTGGGCCACGCTGGGCCACCCTGCTTGCAAGTGTCACTGCACCGTACGTTGTCTGCCTGCCCGGAGTTCACAACACTGTGCAGCCCCGATCCATTGGACTGCCACATTGAACCCGTGAACCGCCTAAGGACCTGACTAAGACCTCGTAGCAAATAGCAGCGGACGGTGCGGTCTCTCGCTGCCTAGGTAGAAGTTAGAACCATGGCAAAGTCAGTCGTCAGCTTCGGACTTGAAGGTGCTTCCCAGCCACGCTAAGTGACGCAGCCCTTCGCCATCGTTAGCATTGAGTAAAAAAGCGGCAAAGGAGATCCCTCGTTTCTGCCAAAAATTAGTGGAGGCGGTCCCCCTTGCCCACCGGAATCCACTCAAGCCCACACCGCCCACCGCCTCAGCGGCTTGCTGCCCCACAGAACTTCGCAGCTTTCCAGCGATATCCTGCCTCCTTCCTCCACTCGCACATATCCTGCCCCCGCCAACCCAAGCACTGACCTTAAATTCACTTCCCCTTTCCAACCTCGCGCCCGCGATACCACTCTATCTCTTCTCTCTCTCGCCTCTGTTGCGTCTTTGCCATTACTTTCCATCACGACTCGTACGGGGCATCGCACGAGGCCTGCTTAATTAATCCTTCTATTCCGTTCTCGCCTTTTTCAGACCGTTAAAATGGAGGGTAAGCTTCCAGCTCAACAGTGTCCCACTCCCGACTCCTCCAGGGTCGACTGCTATCACGGGCGCTTCGCCCTTGTTAACAGCTACTAACCGCCTTGTTCTCTTTACAGAAGAAGTTGCTGCGCTCGTTATCGACAATGGGTAAGCTTTCACCGGGTCTCACCGACTTGCCTGGCGGGGTACTGCGAGAGACCGCCTATCCCATCCTGCCCAAGCACTCAAGCAGTCGCTGTGTCTACCTGATTTCAAAAAAAACAACAGGCGATTTGGAACGGACTGACTAACGAGAAACCAGATCCGGCATGTGCAAGGCCGGTTTTGCCGGTGACGATGCGCCTCGTGCTGTTTTCCGTAAGTTTCGCATCTTCCGCTCTCGGTCGGCGATAGGCCGAACCGTCATGGACGCTCGGGCGCAATACAGGCTTCATACTAACCATTTCGACCAGCGTCCATCGTTGGTCGCCCGCGCCACCATGGGTAGGCCTCGAACCCCCAACGTCTACGCCATCGATATCAGCCAACTAACGCTGTGCTAGTATCATGATTGGTATGGGGCAGAAGGACTCGTATGTCGGCGATGAGGCGCAATCCAAGCGTGGTATCCTCACGCTCCGCTACCCCATCGAGCACGGTGTCGTCACCAACTGGGACGACATGGAGAAGATCTGGCATCACACCTTCTACAACGAGCTCCGTGTTGCTCCCGAGGAGCACCCCGTGCTCTTGACCGAGGCTCCCATCAACCCCAAGAGCAACCGCGAGAAGATGACGCAGATCGTCTTCGAGACCTTCAATGCTCCTGCCTTCTACGTCTCCATCCAGGCCATTCTGTCTCTGTACGCCTCTGGTCGTACCACGGGTATCGTGCTCGACTCGGGTGATGGTGTCACGCACGTCGTGCCCATCTACGAGGGTTTCTCGCTTCCCCACGCCATTGCCCGTGTCGATATGGCAGGCCGTGACCTGACGGACTACCTGATGAAGATCCTGGCCGAGCGCGGCTACACCTTCTCGACCACGGCCGAGCGTGAAATCGTCCGTGACATCAAGGAGAAGCTTTGCTACGTCGCTCTTGACTTCGAGCAGGAGATCCAGACTGCCGCCCAGAGCTCCACCCTCGAGAAGTCGTACGAGCTCCCCGACGGTCAGGTCATCACCATCGGCAACGAGCGGTTCCGGGCCCCTGAGGCCCTCTTCCAGCCTTCTGTCCTGGGTCTTGAGAGCGGTGGTATCCACGTCACCACTTTCAACTCGATCATGAAGTGCGATGTTGATGTCAGGAAGGATCTCTATGGCAACATTGTCATGGTATGTTCTGCAAAGTATGTCAACCGCAGGAACCAATAAGCTAACACGAACCAGTCTGGTGGTACCACCATGTACCCCGGTCTCTCGGACCGTATGCAGAAGGAGATTACTGCTCTTGCTCCCTCTTCCATGAAGGTCAAGATCATTGCTCCTCCCGAGCGCAAGTACTCTGTCTGGATCGGTGGTTCCATTCTCGCCTCGCTCTCGACCTTCCAGCAGATGTGGATCTCGAAGCAGGAGTACGACGAGAGCGGCCCGTCCATCGTGCACCGCAAGTGCTTCTAAGGTGAGATGCGACATGAGGGTCTCTCCGTTAATTGGTCACCTGGGCTTACCAAGGCTCTTAGCAGCGCAAGATTAGGCAGCTTCCCGGCTCGTCTCGAGGCAGTGCCGGCCGCGTCACGGAAGACTTTGGCATCACGCATGTATCTCCTGGGCGAGTTTCATATCCGAACAAAAGTTTTGACCCTGGTCGAGGATTGGTGCATGTCTATTCTCCGTTTGGGACATTTGGACGCACGATGGCCGTTGTTTCCCGGGTGGGCAGGCGCAAGTGCGTAGGGTGGCGCGGACAAGTAGGCCGAGGTTGATGATAAACCTTTTGTTGTTACTCCCGATTGCCTAGTGCCTAGGTAAAGAAATTACCTCGTTCGTAGTATCAGGTGCCCATCCAGGTGGTTTCTTGTTGCTTGTCACCGGTATTTGGAATCAGGTTTGGTTCTTGGTATTTGCAACTTGTGCTTGCGCTGGTACATGTCTTGGGTCGTCTCGTGCTATCAAAACTTCAGCTTCCATCTCTTCGTCTGTGTCTGCTGGTTCCCCATCTGTCTCTGGCCCCGCTGCCGCCTTCTCCTCGGCTAGCTTCCTATACTTGCGGCGGCTCTTTTTCGCCGCGCTCGCCGCACGCTTCTTTTTGACCTCGCTCACGATGGCACTGCGGCTCTGCGCGCCGTTGTAGAGCTCGTCGAGCTTAGCTGCCAAGAGGTCCCGTGCGATTTTGCGGTTCTGAGACCGTGAGCGTGTCGCCTGCGACTTGATTACTATTCCGGTGGGTATGTGTTTCAGCTGGACGGCCGAGTTGGTTTTATTCTGGGAAGAAGTTGATGCGATTAGCAAGAAAGCCGCCAACTGATTCATATGGATCTATAAGACTGAAGTGTACTGTACTATACATACAATCTTTTGTCCGCCTGGCCCGCTGCCCTTTAGAAAAGACTCTTCGATCTCGTCTTCTGGCGGGTGTTTGGGGCGCGGCGGCATCTGGCGTTGGAGCCGGGCCACGGAGGTGCTCAAGCCCCGGGTGAGTGTGAGCGTGAGTGTGGAGTTGACGAGGGGGACATGATAGTGGTGGTTGTGGGTGCCGGCTTGGAATGCTGTGATGCGAGGCCAGGCGAGGAGCAGTCGGAGCATTGCTGGTCTGTGTCTGTGGTGATCTCCAACATAACCTTATGGTTTGAGAGAATGTCTGCTGGCATTCCATGCGCTGCAAGGTGCCGGCCGGTTGTTGCCGTTCAGGGCCCCAATGTCAGTGTCGGGTGGGCCAGGGGGGAGGCCCATCAAGGACGGGAGCTTGCATGAAAACGGGTGGGGAGAGAAATTGGCCAATCATCGGCCAGTCAAAATAAGTACGTACCGCGACGCTAGCCGGGCTTTCCGTCTGGGCCTCCTGTGAGTCCTGTCAGATGCGGGAGGGCGAACGTTCTGAACAACCACTCAACGCGACTCGACAACGACGACACCGGAAACTTCAAATCGCAAAGTCGAACGCCGAACAGACTATCCGAGTTTGAGATATTGGGACAACGCCAATTAGACGTCGCCTCCTCGTCCTCAACCAGAAGAAAGCAGACAGCACAAAGGCCCGTCGTCCCATCGCAGCAGCCCTCTAGTCAGCCCGCCATGGCTTCCCCGATCGAGTCCTTCAGCAAATGGCTGCAACTCAAAATCTACCAGTTCGAAGTGACGATGGCCGTGTACATCTTTACGCCCATTGAGAAATTCATCTTCTGTACGTTCCCCGTCCCCCGTTCCCCCTTTCGTCCCCCGTTCATCAAAACTCACAACGCCCTCTCTTTCTAAACAGACTCGGTCCTCTTCCTGCTCTTCAGTCTTACCTTCATCGCCACCGTCCTCTACCTCCCACAGCATCTCCAATTCATCATCAGCCGCGCCTGGTTCTACATGCATGGCGACTGCCACGACCTCGAACTGGTCAAGGAAGGAGCCGAGAGCTTAGTGCGGACTGCCATAGGGACAGCGACGGGGACAGCGGCAAGGGCGGCTGCTGAGACTGCCACCGGGGTTGTACGCGAGCTTTGAGAGGCATGAACTTACCTTCTTCCAGAGGAAAGGGATGTCCTCTGTACTAAGGTGAAACGGAGTACATGGTGGGCGATGGTTCTCCTGGCTCCCACAATTGATTGTAGCGAGAGCATTGGGACAAGATACAGCTAACAGCTGTCAATGGGAAGTGGTGGCTGGGAGTGGGACAACGAGGCGTTCAAATGCATATATAATGTGGGACAGGCATATAGAGCCCGCTGTTAGGGCAGATAATACGACTAATAATGAATTGACGGTTTAGTCATGGTTTAAGGCGGAATATCGTTCTATTTTCAACTTAACTTTTATTCCCCTAACCCCTTGTTTCGGTCTATTGCAAAGCGAACCTATATATCCTCAACGACCCATCCTCGCCGGCAATGGCGAGCTCTGGCCCTTCTTGACCTTCCCTGGCCGGCCGCCACGCAAGTTGCATGACGGCTTTGGGCAGGCAGAGCTCCGGTCTCACTACTAGTGTCGACACAACCGACACCTTCCCTCCCTCAACCTTCAGCGACAGCACCGACAGCCTACCCGCCTCGGTCCCCACGGCAAGCAGGAGCAGCCCGTCCTTTGTCACCTCAGGCAGGAAATCAAGCGCCGTGACGGGATGTTCCTCGGCGATCGCCTTGCCCAGCTCAAACTGCGGCCCGCTCTCACCATCCCGTTCGCCGTCACTGCCCTTCTTGATCCACACCTTGACCTGCTTGTCCCTTCCCGCAGTAGCAAACACCCTGGCGCTATCGCCACCGACGGGCGGCGCCCAGGCGGCATCCAGGATCATGCGCGCGTGTCCCTTGGGATTGGCTTGCAGTAGCTGGTATCCACAACGTCCATCCTCCTCCTCCTTGTTCTTCTCCCTCGCAAACACAGCCCACTGCCTATCCCGCCCAACGCTGAGCAGATGGTCATCGTCCGCAGAAAACCGCAGCCTCGTGACCGTCAATGCGTGCGCCTGAAGCGCAGGCTTGAGCTCGGTCCAGCGACGCGTCTCGTACAGCCGGATGACTGCGTGGTTGAGGCTGCTGGCCTTGCAGGCGCTGGCAATGAGGGAGCCGTCGTGGCTGGCGGCGAGGCACGAGATCTCGTAGCCGTGCCCGTACAGCTTCTCCACCTCGGGCCACAGCGTGTGGCGCGCCAGGGATTCCTCGAACGGCGGGTGGTCGATTTCGAGCGCCGACCGACGGAGCACGCTTGCCGGGTCGACGGCGCTGTCGCGGTCCGCCGGATCTGTCTCCGCCGTCGGGGCGGAGAGGACGGCTCCCTCCTTGGCCAGGTCGTCGTCGTCGACTACGTCGATGGCCTTGTTGGAAAGCCCCAGCACGGGCATGTTCGCTGCGTCTGGGGCGGCGGCTATGTCCGACGAGGCGGTGGTGGCGTTGGTCAGGCGGCTGAGCATGCGCGCGACTGCCTTGGGCTCGGTGAAAACGCGCATCAGTTTCTCGTCGGCGCCGGATACGAAAGAGGCCGGACCGAGGGTGGAGATGCAGTTGAGGTCGTAGCCGTGGATCTGGGGCCGCGACATCTCGTGCCATGTGTTTCTCTGCTCTGTGTGGGCGGCGGTTGTCCACTCTGCATGGAGTCGGGTGGTCTGGTCGGAGCTGGTTGAAAGGAGGTAGGCGCCGTCTCGGGACCAGGAGATGGCGGTTACGGCACGAGTGTGGCCCGACACGGCAAAATTCTGCTTCCACATATCCTCATCCGCGTCGTAGTCCCACCGTCGCCAGCTGCCCGTCCGTCCCAGTGTGATGACGGTTGTGCCCGAAGGCGACCATAGACCGGTCCAGAAACCGCCAATGCTTCCCGTGGCTGTCGTTGCTCCCTTCTCTTTGCTGACCTCTCCCAGCCTTGCCACTATAATCCAGATGCCTGACTCTGGGTCCGATTCCCAGATTGACAGGGAGTTGTCCGCTGACGCAGACAAGAGCTGAAATTTTCCGGCAGCTGCGGCGCGGGACCAGCGCGCGCTATAGATCCAATCCTCATGGCCGAGAAGGAGGGCCTCGAACATGAGGCAGTATTTGGTACCGCCAGCGCTGATCTTGTGTATCTTGTTGCCCGGAGTCAGCGCATCAACGGACAGATCCAGGCCTGTTGCATTCAGTGCCGAAAGTGCTGTGCCCTGGTGGATGCGCCAGAGGCGGATATACTTGTCTTGGCTTGCCGACGCGAGGAGAAGATCGCTTCCCTGCTCAGCCTTCTCAGACACAAAGTCGAGCGAGCGAATCCAGTTCTCGTGGCCCGGCAATGTAGCCTGCGGGGTGAACTCTAAGCCTGCCGTCCCGTCACCCAAGGAGGCTGTGAATATCTGCACCACGTTGGTCGTCCCCGCGACTGCCAAGATAACCCTGCTTCCCTCAATGTCGAGGCGGCTTAGTGCGACGGCAAGGGGCAAGTATCCTTTCGGTGTTTTGATAGTCTGGAGGAGCACAATTTGGCCCTCTTGGAGAGCCCAGACCTTGACGGTGGCATCTGCTGCCCCTGTGACGAATATTCGTCTGGCATTTTTCGATGCAATCGCCTCGAGAGCGGCTATGCAGTTTATAGGTTCGCGATGCTCCTGTACGATCTGGACGCATGAAGCACTGCCGGTCTCTAGATCTATGGTCCAGAGTCGGAGCTCCTTGTCATCACCACCGGTCACGAGGTGGATGAGTTTTTCGTCCTTCAGCCTGGGAAGAAACTTGACAGCCCGCACATGGGATGTGTGACCGCTGAGGATCTTTGAGATACCTCTTGAATCCTGTAGTAACGGTCAGATTGGCTGTTCAATAACTGCCCTGAGATTCAAAATGAGTCGAGAATGAAGATGAAGATTTCATGAAATTTACCGTAGGACTCCAGATGCAAACATTCGTATCAGAACCAAATGCAACAAATCCGTCTTCACCCCAGTCAGCTGCGGCCGAGTACCTGTTTGCGCCGGCTGCAAGGTAGCGGCTTTCGACGCTGGCTTCGGCCATGATTCTCACTCATGGTTCATCGTCAGGCATGGAACAAGATACGTACAATGGATTCTGTGATTGGCCGTCGCCAGCAAAGATTTGGTATATATTACAGCAGGACGGTATTTTACAGACCCGGTAACGCTATTCCTTCTTGTGTAAGGCAGTCTACGTTACACAGCCGCATGACGTTTGAGCGAAAATGCTGAGGGACATGCAGAGTCACAAGTACTTGTATTCGTACTGATATGTGCAACATTACAGTATGTATATACGTATTGTACCTAACACACGAGACAGTGTAAAGTTCCTTGTATCGAAGAATACTTTGATAGTCGGTTACTTCGTACAGTACGAAATAGCGTACACCTATTTCGGACCCAAGCGTGTAATCGTTGTATTATTTGAACCCTTTTCAGCCTTAAAACGTTATTAACTTCCGCCCAACAACAACACCTCACCGAGCACTTTGCCTTACTAACTCGGTTCCGTACCCAATGTTCTTGCAAGCTCTCCCATATAAGATCTCAGAGACTTGTTGCATAACTTGACAGCCTATCACACGGTTAGACTTGCATAATCACCATGTCGAATCAAACAGAAATCGACACTATTCCCATCACGGTTGACTTTTCGTGAGTTCCTCTCAACCCCGCATTCATAAGAGAGTCCCTTTTTCAGCCATGCCGCCAAGCCCTTTCCCATCACATCCCATCACTAGGAATACTAACAGACTTTTTGTCATAGAGGCGGGCTTGAGATGCTCTTCTCAAACCGGCGCCGCCATGCCGTCTCTCTGCCTGCCATCGACGGCGCCGGCAAGCCAGCAAACATTGCCTTCTTGATCGACTATCTGTGCAAGAACCTGATGAAGGACCCTCGGACCGACCTGTTTGTTCTAGACAACCACATGTATGTACACTATGGCCCTTCACGATGTGACTTTGGACCCCTCCTGACGACCGCCACCCTGCAATAGCCGACCCGGCATCCTGGTCCTCATCAACGACGCAGACTGGGAACTTGAAGGCGAAGAGGCCTACGAGATCCAGCCCCGCGACAACATCCTGTTTGTCTCGACCCTTCACGGGGGCTGATGGGTCAGAGACGCACCCGTTCATTGTCCGTAATGCACTGTGACATTTCATCCGACTTTCCCAACAAGATGTCCGAGACGCACGGCGCCGTCGTTGGACCCCTCCTCCCCGGAGAAGCTTCCCTCTACAGTGACTTTACCACCCACCATTCCGTTACACACGGCATGCGATGCATCTCGCTCGGTATCATCACCCCAGGCACAATACGGGGAGTCTCTTGTCCCTGAGAAGTAAACTGCTGAGCCACACGGAAGGCCATTTCCCTACCCCCGGTGGCGTCGGCGTCCAGGCGTCGTCGGTGGCGACTGTCGGCCGACTGGCGGCTTGTAGCCACGCAGGCAACCTTACCACTCACCTGACGAGTCCATCATGCGAGCCTGCAGGAGGCTGCACCCGGCTGGCTGGGTTTTGGGCCGGTATCCAACCTTGGGCAAGAAATGCAAGGGCAAGGGGAAGAAATTGTGGCCTGTCCCACCTCGGCGGCAACGCGCTTCTCTTTTCTCCGAAGCACTCATAAAAATTTCATAAAGTTGAGACACAAAACGGTGCACAAAACCATTTGCGGGAAATCACTCTGAAGTGGAATACATTTCAGATAAACAATGAGGAAAGACATAACAAAAATCCGGGTTACAGTAACCATCATACCATATGTTTACGGATACTGGTTCACTAACCAACCCCCCTGCCACTACGGAGTTTATTCCGTAAAGTCATCGATATGTCTGTGCCGGGAGAATGAGAGATTGACCGTCTTCTACCCCAACATGTCACCTACCATCACGAGGGCGCCGAAGCTCCACCATTGAAGGATGACAGAACCTGGCACGTGTCCAGAACACGCTACGGGTACAATAACAGAGGGAACTCAGCGTAATGAAATAGGTACGGTACCCTTCGGCCCTATCGACGGGACCCCCCGTTCCCCACCGGGCAGCTCACGGGGCCCGCGTCTATGCGCTTTCCCGTCCTACCGAGTGTACTGTACTGTACCTACATCCATGGATCCTTCTTGACAGTTGGAGGGGGTGGAAGGCAGAGAGGGCCCAGAGGGGTGAGAACTACCTTAACTAAAACCAAAGCAGGGAACAAGGGAACAAGGGACAAGGGACAAGGGACAAGGGAGGCTGCCTGCCTCTTTCCCAAAAATTCCCCAATCCAGAAATAAAGGAAAGTCCAAGCGGCAAACCAGAGTGATCATCAGCGGGGAAAGGACGTGGCTGGATGCGCCGATTCGAATCATTCGACAAGAGGCGCGAACCAAGAACGAGAGAGCTTGGACGTGTATAATACGACTGGGAGTCTGTGGACCATTGAAGTTCTGAGGAGAGGGCTCCTTCGTACAAGACTAGTTACGCTAACATTGTACGCTAAGCCCAGGGCTAACAAGAAGGATCCGGGACCAGCTCCGGAGCCGGGACTAGGTCCGTGGTTGTGGACACCCCGGAACCAGGGTCGGAAGCTGTCCGCGGCTCTCAATGGCGACGCTAGCTAAACCAGAGTTGGCCCAGCATTTCTGGAACGAGAAAGGTATACTTGAAAAGACTTGAGAGATCTGCATCTTACACAGTATAATTTCCCTGTTGGCCGGTGAGTTGATGAGAATTCGACCGAAGACGCAGGGACCCAGCCTGAATGGTTCGAGAGGCGTATTGTTCTAGGCTGTCGAAAGTTGAAACCAGCTGCGGGTTCGGGAAACCGGCGTCGTCCGCAATACACCAGTTATTTTGAAAGGGACCTCTTGCTTCAGGATGGAATATAGAAACCAATGCGAGAAGAGCAAAAGCGGATTAAAAACAGAATATGTCAAGTCGCTATTGTAACAATCAACTATATATATGCCTGTCCAACATTCTAGCGAAATCGCCGCCAGTATCAAAACACCACCTCTAACGGCCCGCGCTTCTCCAGTGAAAAGCCCCCCCAAACTCCTTCTAGAAGATGATGCCGTTCTGAGGTCTAGTAACCCCAATAAGCGGATGCAGGACAACCTCCCCAAATGCAATTGTCCGCCGTAAGGAAAACCAGACTAGACCGCCCTCCTTTTGTCTGCCTCTCGGTCTTGCCTCGATATGCCAGGCCGACACCCACTTTCACAGCCACAGCACAGACTTGGCAATCCCAACAGAACGGGAACCGTACAAACATGCAAAATAACCAGTATGAAAATCTGGCAAACCATACTAGGCAGACATACCTCCTCCGCGAATAGACAAGACCACCCCACCCTCCTTTGTAACAGCGTTGGTATCGGATTGGCCGTGTGGTGAAGCAGTCCAATCTTATGAAGCCAAAAACCTCCTCGTAGGTACGGTGGAACACTCGCTCGATGACCCAACCGTATCATATAGCCTTTAAGCAGAGAGTAAGGAAAACGAAGCAAGCAGAATGGGGAAAAGAGGCAGCAACGTGTTCAAACAACCTCCCAGGGCGGGAAAAGACCAAGGCCAACCCATCCCTCCACTGTATATTTAGGAGAAAAGATCAAAAACGGATAGCGCTTTTCGTGGGAAATTAGAGAAAAGCCAGCCAAGGAAAAATCAGAGTGAGGAAAGAAGGCGTATGGGTCTGACATGCGTTCAGTACATCCGATCTCCAAAGGCAAGCTCCCGCCCGTGGTCCTCCTCGTAGAGGGCTAGGCTTGACGGGGAGACCTGGCCGTTGGCTACCACGCTTGTCTCCTCCGATGTCATCATGCCATAGCCGGCATGTGGTCCTCGAGCGCCGACACCGACCATGTTCGACCTGGTTATGCTGTACGCCGCTGGGTTGCTCAAGCCAGGGAACGAGTGTGGATGGTGCGTCGGCTGTGGTGTTTGCATCTGCATCAGCGGAAGCGCGTGGGGCAACGGCATCGGATAGGGGGCGTGGGCAGCGTTGCTGCTGGCTGAGTCCGCGGCAGGACCAAGCTCTGGCTGTGGGCATGGCAACACCAGACGCTTAACCTTGCGCCCCTTCCCACGCCCCTTGATCCCCTTATTGGCGTGGGGATACAGATCGCACAAGTACTTGGCCATCTCCTTGTCCTCCTCAGACAGTTCGCTCACGTCAGTAACCGTGGCAAATTTGGCGAAGAATGCGTCTATCGTGTCCTGGTGAAATTTGTTTTGATGAGGCTATAGTGGGAAGGGAAGTTAGAGCGTCTTGCAACTCGTAGTAAACAGGTCCGGGATATGATCCATGAGCGACATACCTTTAGGTTGCCGCGCGTGGTGAATGTCTTGCCGCAGTTATTCAACTTGCAGACCCATATCTCACTCCTGTCGTGTGTTTTCATGTGTTGCGTGACATTTCCCTTCTGCGGGAAAGCCTTTCCGCACTGAGGACATTTGTAGGGCTTCTTTCCCATATGACGATGGATATGTGACTGTACTGTGTAAGAAGATTGAGCTCAACAGCCGCCACACGAGGTCTCACCTTAAAGTTGACACCCTGAGTAAAGCCCTCCCCACAGAATTTGCAGATCTGTCTTGTCAGTCCTTGAACGTGCTAGGGCGCCGGGGGGGGGGGCGCAAGGGTCGAGGCTCACATAAGGGCACTCCCCAGTATGGGCTCTGCGATGCGTGTCAAGATTGTTCTTTTGCGCAAAAGTCTTGGTGCAACCAGGAATATCACAGCAAAACCTCCTGCGTCTTGGCTTTGCCTGCTTTCCTTGGGCTGTCTGTTGCGAATCACTCGCCTCCGCCTGGTCCGTCGATGATTTGTCGCCTCCCATCAGGCCTTGAATGGCCCTCATCAGCTTATCCACAGGCGTGTGGAACTCATGCACAGGAGCGCCGTTCACCCGCACGTTGGGCACTATCGTCTTGGAGCCGGTCGATACAGTTGTTGTTGAGGTGTCCGAGTTGATCGACCTAGCCGATGTAGACATCTGAGCTTCGCTCTTGATGGACGGACTCGGGCTTCTATCGTCTGAAAGCCATCCATCTTGGGGATTGTGGAGTCTGGACTCGTCGTGCATGCCAGGCGGTTGCGGGCGATCTAGACACTGTTGGGACTTGAAAGACGCATCCAGAGCTGACGCAGGACTGTAAGAGACATAACCACTGTAGGATACGGCCGCCTGGTAGGGAGCAGAAGCCACGGGGGTCATCATCGAAGAGAGATTGTAAGAGGTTCCAGGAACGAAATGCGGAGCCAGCACGGGTCGTTGCAAAGGCGCCGTGGTTACCGGCCGGGCCTCGTACGGCAGCAGACCCGTGTCCATCATGTGATAATCGGCGCTGGTAGGATGGTGCTGAGGCCAGCGTTCCCAGTTCTCGGGAGGTGGAGGTTGAAGACCAAGAGCCATTTTTCCAGTGGTTTTGGTGGTCTCCTGTTCGCAGAATCCAAGGCGGAACCTGAGTTGTCTGGACGAGCAGTTCCAGGTAGAGGGTGTGAGCCCACGGAGGACGGGAGCGAGCAACTGCTGCTGCAACGGCAGAGCAAAAGCTGTAGTCGGCGGTGTAGAAGTGGATGGGGATGGAGGGGCGGTTCAAGACTGGGCTACAAGCCTCAAGACTGCGGGCATGTCTTTCCTTGACTAGGTATTGATGAACAAACCGTGTACCGGTATCCACCAGCGAGTCGGGATGAGGAGAGGCGTCGGACCTTGGGGAGGAAGCCTCGTACATATAGCATGGAAGCCCAGAACCGCCAGATAGGTAGATCTCGTTCGAGAGGCGTGCGTGGGCGGCCTTCGGTGCCCAACAGGCCGGTTCCTGGCGCTGAGCAGGGTTAAACGTTACCAAGTACCTACCCAGCCAGAGCATGTATGTATGTACATACAAGTACATAGTTTGCATAGTGTCAACCCCGGAAAAAGGGACAAAACCAGACCCCCACCACGAGCAGGCCAGGATGAAGTCGTGTCACCCGGAACCTCATGGATGGGGGAGGGGTGAGTGACAAGGGGAGTGGTTGTGGCCTGGGCTCAAGCGGCCTATCTTGGACCTGGTTGTGCAGCGGGCAAGTCCCGCGATGCTGCCATGCCCTGCCAGACATCCTTGAAATCTTCAGGTTGGAGTCTTGCAGCGAATATTGGGCCGAAACACAGGGTTTGTTTCTCTGCCATCAGTGGTCAATCTTTCAAATCGGCGGAACATACCGCACCCCATGGATGTTGTTGAGGCTGGCTGCTTGAAATAACCTCACTCGAAATGTTCTGCAGTGCAACATCCTGTAGGTTTGATTCTTTTGGCCCCCTTGCATTCTCCTTCCTCTGTTTCCTCTTCCTCTTCTTCCTCTCTTTGGTTGGATAGCGATGGAGCGAGAGATCGCGATCCTGCAAGAGAAATGATGGTGAGATGGCGCAAACCAAAAACGCTCAGAGCCTTGCAACCTCGTGCCCTACAAGTGTTTGATCCGCTGGCACACTCAGCTGGGTAAGCTCCTTCCATATTTACTCTGTCCTATCTCGCACGAAACTCAAAGAGCTCTAACATCTCCGGCGCACCGCGACTTCCTCGGAGTGGTCTCAACAATCGAGGTCGATGATACTGATACGCATGGGAAGGTGTGTCACAGATATCGGACAGCGACAAGGGTCCTCAATGGCAAGGGGAGAACTAAACTAACCAAGACTGGGAAAGCTCTGGTGGAGCAACGGCTCGGCCGTGGGAGCCTAGTAGCTGTACCTATGTAACTGTATGTAAGGTATGTAACATCAGTGTAATAAAATAGGTACCTTCGCTTCCTGAACACTTCCATCCAGTGCTAGGTGGGTCTTCTTGTCTCCCTCGCAAACACTCTCCGTTCTTGGAGAGCGGGTTAAGAACGATCCACTGCTAGGTAGTGTCCCATCTGCCACGTGTGGACCTTTGTCTTTTTATGCCACTGGATGCCCGGAATGGCCGCATGCCACTTGGGCATTGGCCGAGTAGAATGCTACTGCAAGACATCTTGGGGCACAGAGGCAATTGTGTGCTCGACTTTGTCCGTTAGGTAATTATTGTACCGTACACACATACCGTTGATACATATGTACTGAAATTTACGAAGTACTGCCTGAGGTGTGTATGTAATTACCTACCTATCTAAGGTTAGCTGAGCGACACACCTTCCTGTCCAATGTCAACGGTGCCCAGGCCCCGAACCAGACACACCCGAGGCCGGCAGTCAGGTTCCAATACCATGGGCGGCTGCTGCACCGTGGCGGCACTAGCACAGGTAGCCTCAAGATGGTTTTTCATCCGCCAGGTCTTCTCAACCAAGGCCTCATCCGCTTTCCAGCTCATTCAATGCCGTCGCTGCAGAGTTGCCAACTTTTAGGAATGAATGATAGTTACACTACTCAGGTACGCAGTTCGATCGCAGGCGCCTCAAAATGCAAGATGCCAGTAGCCTAAGAGCTCCCCAGACGCCAAAGAGCCAAACGGCAGATCCCCTCCTGCGCTGCCTGCAACCGCACCCCCTGTAACTTACCAAAGCAGCTCAGCGCCACGTTGCCCATTTCTCAAGCAAGCAGCCAAATCGGAACACCGCATTGAGGCTACTCTGTCACAGCCACTAACTATCCTCTAGTCAAAGATCCGCTTACCATTCCCAGACTACTCTGAAAGGAAACCAGATTTTCACCTTGATGGGCGGACGAGTTGTGGTGCACAGCATGGATCTGACCTTCATCAGCGTGCAATAGGTCGGGATTCAGAGCCTCCATCCTTGACAGTTCGGGAGAGTGGCGTCGTGGCTGGATCCTCGTGTCCACCGTGTATCATACCCTGCTGCTTGGTAGTGCACACACACTTATACCGTACGAAGTACGAAGTACGGAGAGCATCACTGCATTTGGGGTGACAGGTAACATTATGTACTGACAGTACAACTGTAATATAGTTACACCGCTAACCACTTCTGCTTGGCAGGATCATACCAATGCTGTATGCGGCGAGTCGGAGACCGTCCATTGCAATCTCTACGTGTAATTACTCCGTCCACGCAAGTCGACCCGGGTGCCGGGGATTTGTTTATCACCACGGGCCTTGATACGGCCCCATGGTTACCAGCGAGCCAGCACAATTCCAGCTTGTTGTCTCGAGGCTTTATCATGCCGGGGTCCGTCCGTACGCCGGGTTGAGGAGGCACGGGCATTGAAGACGCTAACAACTCAAGTCCTCTTATCACTTTGCCGCCTCCCATAAGACCCTCTCCATCTATCTTCCGCTGAAGGTGTTTGCAGGATTCACCCCCGCGGCTGAAGCTTTCTTGGATGAGGAAACCAACCAGAGACAGGATGTCCCCAATCCGGGGATGCTAGATCGTCCGGAAGTCAGACCCGTGTCCGCTCTCATCTTGGCCATGTGAGCGGTCACTTTTCCCTGCCCCCTCCGCGCGACCTTGCCTCCAGCGATATGGGCAGAATATCGCCTACGTATGTATGTAATTATGTACATACATACACACGTCGAGACGTCCCATCACTCTGGAGCTAGTCACCGAGAAAACTGGCGAGACTGGGTCATCAGTCCCGATGTTACCCCGCGAAAAGGCCGTTTCAGCCAGTGACCCGTTGTTGTGGTTCACGTGCCGTTGCCAGGATCACGGTAACCCCTACGTTTTCCGCGGGTGGCCCAGCAATGGCCAAGAGGGACGGCGTGAAATCAGTCGGACAATTGATCTCCCTCGCTGCACCAATCAATTCGTGAAGCTGGGATTCTTTTCTGATTGATGACCCCAGGTGCGCCGAGAGCAATACTACCACAGTCACTATTCTTGCAGTCCAAAGAGGAGTCGTGATTCGTGTCCTCGGGGTGTCTTGCCGTCAAAAAGGGGGTTTGACAAACAGGAAGCTGTTCAAGACGGTCCACTCTGAAAATGTACTGGAAGCACAGGAAGGTACCTAGGTTATATTAGGTGCAGACCTTGGACATCCGCTGCTGCAAGGTAGGTAGGTAGCGACAGGCATCATCGAAGTGCAAGCGCAGGTGAGAACCTTGTGCTGCAGTGTTTGTGCTGCTGTCCAATACATACGTACTGTACACTGTGCTTGGCCGTGCGGTTCAAGTTGTTGTTGCCTCCGTTCTGGGAATAGCGCGGCGCACCGTCCACCTTGCTTGTTTGCGGTTCCAGCATTCTGGTTGCGGGAGATCCCCGGACTAGACCCTGGGCCGGACCAGGATCGGTGTCCCACAACGCAGCTGCCCCTTCGACAACAATTGGTTACTGCGCAAAAATTACCTTTGGGTTTTGTTAGGTTGCCCTTTCCATCACCGATTTTTCCCAGACGTTCAACGACACGTGCCCACGGCAGTCGCGGGCAGTGGCATGACGGATTAATAGTATGTCAGCCGCTCTTTCGCGCGAAGTGGTGATCGTTGTGATCTATACACCTTTGGGCCTCACGAGCGCAAGACAGCCGTCACTGGAGCAGGAAAGGCGGAAGGTCGAATATCTTGCTCGTCACCCCATCCCGCGCCTGACTGCTCCAAGCGGCACGACAGCGTGGGGGTTGCAACGGGGCGGTGTACTGTACAGTACTGTACCTAGTGCACTGCCTGCAGCGGAATAATGCTGTGCTGTGCTATGCATGCGCATATATACGCTAAGTTGCACTACCAAAGATTCTGCTACGGCTTGATCCCCTAACAATAACGTTACCGTACATTTTATATTCGCTATGGACCTGAATGGCCCACAACACCCTGGAGAGCTCCGCTGGTCCAATGCCACACCTAGAACCTGACTTTCAACTGCGTTTCTCCTTTGATGGTTCATTTCCCCTCTTTCTCGAAGTACTGGATCTTGGGCCTCGCTAATTCCACGATAGTCTGTCTGCTATCTCGAACCTAACTCGGGCGGCCTGCGACACCAGCAATGCAAAGATCCGCAACATTTGCCTCCCTCTCTCTCCCAGCACCGGGACCAGGACTCCGGGAAACGGACCCTGTGTTTAGCGTCCGCTAGCGTACCCAACTGAACCTTTAAGCTTGCCACCGGGCCGTCCCCAGCCGCTAGTTATTGGCGAAGCCCGTCCCTGCACCTGGTCGTCACATCCTCGTCACCTCCAGGCATTTAGCCGTCTGCCCTGGCTTCCCAACTCAATGGGACCGGACGGCCAGATTCTTTCACCGCTGCCAAGCTTCGGGATGGAGTCGGTCAAAAAGCTGTCAAAAGATGCGAGATGATGGGGGGTTGACGTCTTGAAACTGCAGCCCCTAGGCATTCCATTGGCCCCGGGCCCTCAATCGGCTACAGCCGCTGATGAAGAGACCCGCTAATGTCACATCGCTCTCCTTTTCCAACCCTCCCCTCTCGTCTGGCGGGCGAGTGCGACATTGGGCCTCAAGATGCGGCATAGAGACCACGACACCCCCGTCCCCCGTTCCGTATCGACGGAATCGTGATGGGTACGCCACCAGCTGCACGCTTTCCTTTTACCCCTCGATCAAAAGCTGGCATCGCTGCTGCTGGAACCTGGCAAGGCACATAACCAGGCTCGGCACGACATCTCAGATCTCACTTCCAGCCCCCTCCCTGGCATACACTACTGTAGTGTAGTGTACATACAGACACTACACTATATTGTACGATGTACGTATGCCTCGAATGCTGGGTCCAGCAGACCTCGCTTACTGGTAGTAACGAGTCCCAGACCGCCCCTGGACCCGCACTATACCATTTCCCCTCGTCGACGCTGCTTCTCCTTGCCACAACTAGCGGAGACCGACTCCCCGGTCGTCCAAGGCAACAATTGCCATCAACGTCCCAGACCGCTTTTCTACACTAGTGTAGACGTGGTTTGGTGCCAGGTAAGCAGTTACAGTACACTCGAGGCCGGCATGTAATGTAGGTCTCTCTTGCTCTCTTTGTTATGGGATTGTGCCACGACAATCCAACCCCCAAATTCACACCTTACAGGACTGGGCGGCCACCAGTTGGGCAACAGTCACGAGAGCAGAGTATACATAGAATACCACGTCCCACAACAGATCTCCTCCGCAATCTGCATGGCTGATTCGGTTTCATAGTCGAGCCCGTGGCAGAGGATTGGCCCGTCCGGTAGTCACAATCAACTTGTCGATGCTTTCCCCTCTCCCCCAACCCGTCGGTGGGGGCGGGGTTGAGGCCAGACATGGGGAATCCGCAAGGTGGGAGAGAGGGCTTCCTGCCTCGGCCGCGCTTCAAGAGGGTCCAGAGCGCTTAGCGCGGATTGCGTCTTTGGTACCTCCAAAGAAATCCACTGGCTCTCGGTTGGCCAACCAGCCGTCTGCCTGCATATCGTCACCGCCAGGAACAGGGCCTCCTATCACAGGTCGACAACATCTGCAAGATGAGATCTCGGCGCCGATAGCCATACGGGTTTCGGAGGGTCCTTTGCTACGGCACCGGTCTGGTACCGGGAGAGTGTGGAGATGCGGACTCGTTTGGAAAGAACGGGCCCGGGCCGCCAACGAACCCGAAACCACAAGCTTTCTCTCCTTGGCTTGGCTTCGGCAGCATGGGTTTTCCGTGTAACGTTAACCAGATGCTGTCAGCCTGTCAACAATCCTACACTTAGCACCGGGCCGGCTAGCTGAGCCCGAAGGATAGAGTATGTACACTACACGACGCCGCCCTGACGAGAATCTTGGGCTCCTTTGAAAGAGCCCTGTTTAACACATCTGGGGCGCCAAAAACAATTCCCACTGACAGTGATGATGCAGAATTTGAGCCTGCAGATTCCCTAGGGCCCTACGCGGGGGAGGATGCCGGTTGGTATTCGTATGCACGATACGATTATCCTGGATGAGCGTCCCTGAATGCCGTGTCTGTCGGAATCTGGTAGTTTTCGTGGTGGCAAGAGCGCCGCCGATCCCGGTCCTGTGTCTACATGCAGGCCAGCGCCCAGCGGGCTGTTGTGCTGCGTGCCATGGCAACAGAGCCTCGTTGGTCAAGGCCTCCGTGGATTGGGCGCTGAATATCCCCGAGCGGCGAGGATCATCATAGGAAGAGGCTCGCGAATGGTTGGGCAATACATGGTCGTATCTTGCACAGGCTACGCTGCGACCCCTCGACTTCGATTCCGCATCGAAATTTTACCGAGAGCCGCATCCAATCGCCCATTCCGTGGGCTCTGCCGGGACCTTCCGTGTCAGCGGCCCAGACCTTGCCCCCCCATGGCATGCTCCCCGGATTGGTCGACCATCTATCGATTATACTTCGTACTCAACGGTTCATCTGGGAAAGAGATCGCCAACTCGATGTTCCCGTCCGTCCTGCACCACAAGGGTGCTCACAGACAGTGGATATTGCCGGGTAAGTGGGGGGAAGGGAGAGTTGTTCAGGTCGCCATCAGCAACCTTGAAGATTGGGAATAGCGGCAGTCTAGAATCTGCAGCAGAAAGGGAGGCGAGAAGAAACCTACTTGACCATCTCAGCTGCGCTGGAGCGAGCAAATGACTAGCACACGACGCCGCGTCGTCATCCTTGCTTGCGGGTTTTCATCCAAGACGACACCATCGAGGGCTTGTCTTAGTGTTTGCCCGGAACCCCGGCCCTGGTTCATTGAGGTTTGATAGGCGTTCAAGGGGTGGGGACATAACCAGCGTACATACACGTACAGGATGGATGGCGACCTCGTTGCTGGGACCAGATTGCCAGTGGCTACGCTACCCTAGTGTAGCCAGATGGCGCAATCTACTCGGGGCGAAGAGATAAGAAAGACAGATCTCCTTCCAGGGTCCAGTGTCTTGGGGTTTTGTTCTTTGCTTCCCCTGGCCAGTTTTCCAGGGCTTGCCTCTGTGCCGTCCCGTCCAGGCTACAGTAGTTATTTGGAGCATCGCCGCAGAGCTGATACTCATCTATGTAGTGTACCCAATTACTTACACGTACTACATCGACGCTTAGGTACTGTATGTACAGTAGACTTATATAGTTGTGTGTACAGTACAGTACTTCGTACATACAGTACTGTATAGTACACTATACAGTAACTTACACGACACTACAGTTAGCACGTGTGGAGCTTTGGAAGATCTCCCGAGTGATCGACGGTGGGCCAGCGGGCGGGAAGGGCATTTTTACGGGAATCCCCCCTCGAGAGATAGCTCTGCCACCTCCACACGGGTCAGAGTGGGAGATTTGATGAAGCTCGGCCTCAATTCTCGCGGAGAATTCCAGATGCAGATATCCTCAGGATTTGGAATACTTGGTACAAAACATACAGATGCTGCTATCTGTTTCAATCCTCGGCAAAAATGGGCGTTCTCGGAAGGTTGCATACAGACATATGCATGAAGCCAAGATCCAACGTCTGTGCCCCTTTCCAGATTTGTGTTGTGAAATTATTTGGCTTTCTCCTCGGGATATTTTCAGCGCGATAACCCTTGGCCTAGCCAATAACCAAGCACCTGTAACTGATTACCGTTTACTAGTGGGCGCCTAACGTCAAGTTAGATGCAATCGTCGTCAGCTTTGGCTACTAGGCTCTCTAGGCAAGGCTGACACAAGGGAGCCACTTGTTATGTAAGATACAGTTGACTGTGTGCTTTCCAATACTGTACTGAACAGAAATAACCAACTTAGATATAGTACTCTGAACGGTTAGAGTAGAAGTAAGACGTTTGAAGAGAATATAGACTATAACATAATATATAATGTACTATAGGAACTGCTGCAATTTCAACCCTCTTTTTTTACTCTGTGACGTTATGCTTCTCTGTGCTGTGCCTCTTGGGAACCCCCGCGCTTCCCAGATTTCCGTCTAGTTCTGTGGTCCTGCGTTATGTGCATCATGGTGCATGCGTTCCTACCACAGTAATCTTCAGCTTGCGTCTGTGGGCAACGAAACGAACCTGGGAAATCTCGGGGCTTGGGGTTCGCTGATCTCGCTTATCTGGAACCCTCATCTCGGGCTTGGATGATGAGCCTATGCACACCACAACATATCTAGGTAAAGTTAGGGGGCATGGTACATACAGCAGGTCCTGGTCTGGATGGAACTTACTTGCATACACGAGTTGCATTGGAAATGTATGCAACCTTTGTGTATTCAGGGGGGCGCGGAAGTCCTCAGTTGTTTCGGGACCCAGGTCGATGACCTCTACGGATACTCTACGAAAGGTAATCGATCTGTGTACTGTAAGTAGTTCTCTCGCCGTCTCTTCTTTTTTTCTTTTTCGCAGGCAATCTTGGGTTTTAGGTGGGGGTTGAGGCTGAAGCCTCGGCATGGGGGAGCTGGCTGGCTGGGAGACGACTCCGCAATTATCCGTAGACTAACGTTACATGGGGGAGCGAGGTCTTCCACTTGGCAAGCCCATGGAGTTGCTATTTTATGCTTGGCCGTAATCGGACTGTTTTCCATCCACCCATCCGTCCCATGTGTGTGGGTTTGGACACTGCTTGTTTCTTTCTTCTGCTGCTGCCGCTCCAACTTTTCTTGGGTCTTGCGAGCCTTTCTTTTCCTGGGATGGATGGATGTACATATATTGCCTATATGTAATGTACTGTACACTATTGTACTTCTGCAGGCACGCTTTGAACGGCATGCTTAGTTGGGCCTCCCGGTTTGAGACTCGCTGATTGAGATTGAGCTATTGGCTGTTGATCTCAATCATGACGCGATGGCTAGTGACAGTTCGTCGCATGCACTGTAACCGTTCGCAAGCTTGGTTCGGAAGGGGCGTAATGAGAGTTTCATAGTTTTGAAGGCGTGGCGATTCTCTTCTCGAGGGTGATGAGAGGGGGATGAGAGGGGGATGAGAGGGGGATGAGGGAACGTGCCCCTTTCCTTGGTCTTGTCCTTGGGTCGTGTTGCTCATGTAGATCCTGCCAGGTGTTCTTCCACGCTACCTTGAGGACCTAGGGCTCCAGATATACAGGCCGTCAGGCCAAGAACGTGGGAGAGGGAAGAGTCGATCGTGCCCCCTGGAATCTACCAGTCTCTGGTGCTGTTTCCCATGTCTCGTCATCTTAGTCTGAACCACGCCGGGTGTGGCTGCTGCCTCTGGTCTACTATCTTGCTGTGGAGGTGCTCTTGAGGCTGGAGAAGCATTGACCAATATGACCCTCGGTTCCGATGTATGTACATACATTGTCGAAAGCCGGCAACTTGGATGGCGAACGTAGATGTTAACCAAGGGAAAGACGGCTTCTAGAAGCATATATGTTTCCCAGATTATTTAGAGTGCCATTTATGTACTGTACACCTATATACTTTGATGTAAGGCACAGAATTAAGCCTTTCCCGAGGAGGCACCAAGCCCGGGTGCAACGGCCGAGCGCACACGGCCCGAGACAGGCACACATACACGGCCCGAGCAGTACCCGGGGCTGCCACACTGGCACACATCGTACGATAACTCCAGCCAACCCGTCTATGTCTATGCAACCACACGATTGTGTCCCCCGGCTCGGTGTGCCAATCGTGGCATATAGTACTTTACGTTCTCGTAAACCAAAAACGTCACCCATGTTGCGGGCAGCACCCGCACCACGCCCGGCATGACCCCTCTATAAAAACCCCTCACTCCCTCCTCCCTCCATAGCTTCCTGACTACCCCGGTTACGCCCTTACCGAACTGCTCCTCGGCGTCATAATGCTGCAGCCGGCTCCTCAGCACCTGGAGCGGATAGGTCGCCGCGCCAGCGACTAGCTTGGAGACGGTCGACAACACCAAGGTCGCCTCGTTCGACACCTGGTCCGCTTCGTCCACCCCGCCACCGCCGCCATCCCGCTTCTTCCCCTCCGAGCCGGAATCATCACGACGATCAGGTTGCTGAGGATGCGCCTCATCCCACCGCCGCCGCCTTCTCGCGAGGTACATCCGCCTGGCCGGGTCGTAGACGGCAAACTGCACGGCACCGTGGCTGACGGCCAGCATGCCGACACCAAGCCCGCGATAGAAACCCCGGATCCCTTCCTCGCGGAGCAGGCGGGCGGCGCCAACCCACATGCTTGGGTAGGCGCCGGCGGCGGAGCGGTCCGACGACAGCATGCGCGTCTTGAGCACCCAGATGGGGTTGGTAATGACCTGGGTGAGCGCGCCCGCGGCGAGCGAGGCGACGAAGAAGTCGGCGGGCGAGAGGCGGCGCTGCGGGCCGGATAGGGACTGCAGCGTGCTGGCGCCGTTCTCCTCCTCTCGAGATCCTCGGAGCTGGGCTATCCCGCGCTCAAGGCGGGATTTGAAGAAGAAGAAGGAGGCCCAGCTCGTCGCGTTGCCCAGCAGGTTGGGCGTCAGGCCGCGGTAGAGGGCGGCGAGCGGGCGCTCGGTTGCCACTAGCGAGCGGATCAGGGAGACGGTGGTCAGGGTCGATGTCGGAGCCAAGGAGCTACGGTGGACTGTTGTAGGGGAATTGGATTAGTAAGGTGTTTATCAGCCATAGTTCTTGAGAGGAGCCACTCGTACTTTGCATGCGCGTCTTGACAATGTCGAGCGGGTGCACGATCAGGGTGGCCATAGACCCTGCCGAGAGACCGGCGACCGTCTCGACCAAGGCGCGGGAGAGGCCCGCATCTTTGATTTCCGTCATAAGAGACGCTCGGTTATGGTCGCTACATGGGCACGTCAGGGGGTGGTGTTGACAGCTTCGAATAGTTGCGCATATCTGGGGAGAGTGGTGTCGGTTGGGAGAAAATGAAGAAAAGGGCGAAAAGGGTACGGGTAACAACGGTAGGTTTTAGAGGTGGGATGACGCAAGGAATTGGGCCCTCGGCTTGTCCCACCCGGCAGTAAAAATTTCCGGGGCTCTATCGGCCGAATTGTAATGGAGACTCTGTATGGACCGAACTCGGGTATCCGTAACGACCTCGGAACCCGAGCAGAGAGAAGTACAGAGACCGATTTGCCTATGCAAGAACTTCATTCACTGGAGCTGTTTTATTCGTTATTACATTGTACAATTGTGGTGATGGCGTCCAGTGCCTCATTTCCCTTATCCCTAATGCCCTTGACACGCCCTAGCCCATATCCCACGTGCAATGCCACGCCGTCTTCCCACGGTCGGCTTCCATGCCTGCCGTCATATTCGTACAATGGTAGAAATTCGAAATTTATCGTCGTGTGTCGTTCAGGAGAGTGGGGAGAGGAGGCTGTGGCACATGTCAGAACAATCTGCAGCTGCGCGCTGTTGTCTCGGTATGCATACCGGATGATGGATGGCCGAGGCTCGCTCCGAGTGTAGCCTTGGGAGAGTTAGCACAGCTCTCTCGCGCTCATGGGACGGCAATCGCCTACCAAGATAGAGAATCAGAGGCAGATAGCCACTGCTGCGGTCAATACACGTCGCGCCCGAATGCATGGGGCGCATCTGCACATACTAATGGATCGCTACCCGGGAGATCTCAATGATCTTGCCGATGCGCTCCTAGTTTGGATCGTCAGCGTCGATATCGCGGGCCAAGAGACTGGGGAGCGACTGACTTTGGACTCTTCTGAAAGGGCGAACATGTTGATCCGTAGCGTCCGAATTTTCTGTTGGTCTGTTAGAATCATTCTAGACACGCTCGAGTATAAGGGTGCGCACCTGCTACTTGCGCGATTTGTTGATGATGGACAACGAAGTTGCGATGGCGGATGTCTGTGTTCTGACCTCGTCGATAATGATTGCAGCAGAATCGTGTTTTTGGACCGCCGCCTGCAAAGCCTTAAGAAACAGTTTTGGCGCGGCTGAACAGTGCACAACCCCTGCTGACAATCCCTGTCAGAGCCACTGCACAGAGCCCACCAATAACTGAGCCAGCCTTGTTCCGCCTTACAAAGTGCCGTCCTCTCAGAGCCTGGGCTTCAACGTCACAGCTCAAGTGCGCCTTCTCTCTTGGCTTGAACCGCCCAGCTATTGCCGCTGCCTTCAATAACCAGCGCAGTAGAGCAATCAGGATCAATAGTGGCCCGGAATGTCAAAGCATTGGTAAGTCATCGCACCCTGAACAATACCAATACCGATGAGAAAAGAGTCCATCTCTAATCAAGAAAATTCCAGGGAGCAAAATAAAGATGCCACGGTCTACGTCGGCAACATCGACGAGCGCTTCACGCAGGAGCTGCTCTCCGAGTTGATGACGCAGGTTGGCCCGGTGCGTCAGGTGCACATGCCGCAGGACCGCGTGTCGCAGACGCACCAGGGCTACGGCTTCGTCGAGTTCGACACGCCCGCCTCGGCCGAGTACGCCGCCAAGGTGCTCAACGGGATCCGCGTCTGGGGCAAGCCCATTCGCGTCAACAAGGCGAGCGCCGACAAGCAAAAGACGGTCGACATCGGCGCCGAGCTCTTCATCAACAACCTCGACCCCCAGGTCGACGAGAAGATCCTCTACGACACCTTCAGCCAGTTCGGCGGCATCCTGCGCCAGCCAAACATTGTCCGCGACGACAACAACATCTCCAAGGGCTACGGCTTTGTCAGCTTCGACTCGTTCGAGGCCAGCGACGCCGCCCGCGCCACCATGAACGGCCAGTACCTGCTCAGCAAGGCCATCACGGTCGAGTACGCCTACAAGAAGGACGGCAAGGGCGAGCGCCACGGCGACGAGGCCGAGCGCAAACTCGCCGCCGAGGGCAAGAAGCACAACATCGTCCCCGAACACCAACCCCTGCCGCCCGCCTTCCACATGACTGCTCCCGTAGCGGGCGCCCCTACCGCCCCGGCCGCCGCCACCGCCGCGGTCCCCGCGATCCCACCCGCCATCGACCCCTCCGCGGCCGTAGTCCCGCCTGTTAGTGTATCCCCAGTAGCCCCAGTTGCTGCCGCGGGGGCAGGATATCCCGGCGTGGTACCTCCCGTTGCTGTTCCCGGGAGCATGGGCCGTGGCCACGGGCCGCCTCCTGTCCCCCCATCTTTGGGCGGCATGCCGCCAGCCGTGGGCGTCCCCGGCCGTATGGGTGGTGGCCCCCCCGTTGGTGGTGTTCTTCCTCCCGCGCCCTCGGGACTTCCCGCGCGGCCTCCTCCCAGCCATGCGGGCTTTGGCGGCCCCGTCGGCGGCTTCCACCACCCGCCGCCCGGATTCCCGGCCCCCGGTGGCCCAGCCGCCCTGGTGCCCCCCCAGCCGCCCATGTACCCAGGCATGCCGGTGGTGCCGCCGCCGGGGGGCTTCGCTGGTGCTCCTCCGCCCTCCGGCGCACCGCTACCTCCCCCTGGATTCATTCCGCCCCCTGGCGGGATTGCTCCGCCGGGATTTGGCGCGCCGCCACCTCCGCCTAATGGGTTCGTCCGGCGTTAGGAACGCTGGTAATTCAGAGGGAACAACAACATGCTCCGCGCGAGCGACGATAGCCACGGCCTGCCCAATCAAGGTGCACCAGGGAGAGATCTCAAACGAGTCAGAATTGTAGCACCACTAGTCCCGCGGAGCAAGCATCGAACTATGGCGATGCCAAAACTACTATCTTCAGTCCGGAGCCGATATACCCGGCACGTCACTCCGGCGGGCATCCCATGCCGAAGATGTTCGCCAGGTATCAGACAGGAGCGATTCTAGGCCGCCCCTACCGACGGCGCCAGAAAAGCCGAGCAAAGGGATTTCGTGGACTTTCGATTGCTTCAACTACTGTGTATGTTGACCGTCTTGTCGCTCTTCAGTAGACTCAGCGGCCATCTAGAGTCTTCCCTTGGACGTTCAAACGAGGGCTAACATACCGCCACAGCCATGACACGATACACTGGTCTTGAACTCCAGGAACTCTGTGGGGTTACAGCATCAGGGTGTGGGACAGCTAGGAGTGCCTCAATGTACGATAGTTAGGAAGAAGAATCAAAAACAGCAAACAAGAAATACCCTGAAGTATTTGAGACGCTTGACTTCTTTTTGCTGCGATGGGAGCTACCTGCGACATCTCCCCCGGCCCCTCATCTGAGAATCCCCCTTCGTGATCATTCCATAACCTTTGGAAATCCTGCCTTCCAATCCGATCCGGGGTACTTTCCTCGCCGATCGATTTACTAACAGGCTAGCTTTTGCATAGCTGTAGCGCCGTGATAATCTTACATCGTACAAGTGGGGGTAGAAAAAAAGACCTAAAATCCCTACCCGGGAAAACTGCTGCTGATATGAACCCCCTGAAAAGAACCCACCTTTGGAGATAAATCACTCATGCCTATGCATGCGCCATAGCCGCATCCTCTCCGTTGGCATTCTCGTTCGCCTTACCGTCGGCCTCCGCGGCCCTCCTTGCCCGTTCCTTCGCCGCATCAACGAGGAACGCCTCCTCGATGGCCGCCCGCCTCCTAAAGACGCGCAGCCACCGTTCTGCCCAACGGCGGACAAGCTTGTCGGTCTCGCCGTCGCCGTTCGACTCAATCATCTCGTCCTTGGTGCCCGTCGCCCACGACACCAGCGCGTCCTCGATGGCGGCAAAGAGTGAGCGCATCGCTTTGACCTCGAGCTCGCGCGTTTCGCCGGCGTTCTCATCCGGCATGGCGTGGTCCGGCTGCTGCTGCTGGGGGTGGTCGGCCTTGGGCGCGACCTGCCGCACGCGGCCTGTCACCTTCATGACCGTGTTGAAGACCATCTCGTACATGTACGAGTGCGCGAGCGCTTCGCCACGGGTAGAGCCCGCGCGGCCGAGAAGAACCCAGTTGATGACGGTTGCCGGGGTCAGAATGCTGTAGTTGAGGAGCTTCTCGATAATGCAGATTGCGACGCCGGGGTGCGCGGACCAGTAGGCCATGACAGCCGAGACGATTTGCGTCCGGGCCGCGTCCGAGGCGGCACCGGCGTCGGCGAGACGGTCCTTGGTGCGCTCGATGGCGGCAAGGACATGGGACAGCGACTTGCTCCCCACATGCAAAACACAGGTGACGAAGACGTCTGTGCTGGCTACCAGGGCGTCAATCTCACGGTCTATGGCCTGGGACTGGATGCGCTGGATGACGGCCTCAATTTCCTCATCGGGGGCTTTGCGCTTGAGAAGGCCAGCAATCTCGCGGCCCTCTGCGGCGAATGGGGTGTCTAAAACTCGTTGTTAGCATCCGGGGCTGTACACTATCATAAGCATAGCAACCTACCATCGCTGGCAAACTTGAAGTCAGGCGTCTCCTTCTCCTTCTCTGGTGTGATGAGCTCCTTGTATGGTTCAGGCAGAGTATTCTTGATGCGCTGAGCAAAGCTGAGCCTGATCTCCTTATCGAGTGCCCCCAAGATAAACGCCTTGCGCGGGTGCTGGTCTGGCAGATACACGTCGTCCACCCACTCTGTCCACTTCCACGTGAAGCCAAAGTTGCTGAGATGATGCGAAAACCAATCCAGAAAGCGGTTGGCCAGTTCCAGGTCCAGACGAGGAGAGTTCCTGTAAAGATAACGAATGGCACGGCCCAAGCTGGGAGCGATCGCTGCTGGCGCCAGTTTGCATGCCTCGGTCAGAACGGAGTGGTAATATACGAGCTTGTGCTCTGGGGTGGGCAGCTGGAAGAGCTGAGAGAAGACGGCATCGACCGCAACGTCTTCGGGCTTCCACGTCGACTTGGGAGGCTCAATGTCGCGCAACTTGTCGAATGGTGTGGCTCTCGCCGCAAATGTCCGTGGAGCAAAGTAGCAGTCCAGATCAATCAAATTGCGGGCAGTCACATTGCGGTTGTAGTCCAGGATATTGATTGTATCCACCAGGACATCCCGAATCAAGGACGCAGCAGCGTTCGTGACGGGAGGCACCGACTCGACATCCTGGTTGGCGTAGACCGAAAAGTGGACTTCCGGAAACAACGGCCGCGGCCCAGCAACGACCGTCTGAGGGATAGTGATTGGAGGAAGGGCATGCTTGGGCGCCGCATCAAGCTTTGACTGCTGCTCGACATCTCCCAGGGGAAACTCCCACGGTCTCGGTAGGCAGGGCAGCGCCCACCCATTGTTTGCCTCGGTCTGCAGCTGGCTTTGCAGCAACCCTATCAGGCTCTGGGACGGCGTCTGATTTTCCTCGCTGCTCTCCTCGTGATAGGGCTCGATCATGGCCTGTAGGGTGTGCGGCTCGGAGGCGATGATCTCCGTCTTCTCCATCAGATCCGCCGCCTTCTGATGCCACTGACCCGGCGCAGCGACCATGACATACGGAAGGGTAAGGAGAATAATCTTGACGATCTCCGTCCCAATTGTCTGCGATCAAGAAACGAATGTCAGTCGGAACGAAACTCACATAGTGTCCCTCCCCCCCAATGCCGGGAACCCAGATTGACTTACATCCTCCGAGCTAGCCGTCTGCAAATCCACCGCCCTAGCAAAGAGCTCTTCCAACACGGGGAAGACACCCTCCCCTTCGAGACACCCTTGCAGACAAGCCAGCAGCTTCAGGTAAAGCTTTACGTCCCTCCACTCCCCGGCCTCAATCTTGGCCTCGATCCCCTTGACCAGCTTGCTCAGTAGCATGTCGACCACCTCGGGCCGGGTCGCGTTGGCGAGCAGCACGACGGCCGCCGTGAAGGGCGTCTTGAGCGGTTGTTCGACCGCCAGCTGCAGCACCAGGTCGACAAAGTTACTTCGCAGCAGCTCGTCGTCCCAGTTGTCGGTGAAGAGCGTCGCAATCGACTGCACCTCATCGTGCCACGGCCTCATGGGGTTGTCGGCGATGGCGATGAGAGCCTTGCGCACCCGCACGTGGGGGGGCGCGTCGTAACGCCTGCGAGGGCCGCGACGGTCGTAGTCGTCATCCTCTTTCGGGTGTTTGTCATGTCAGCTTTTCTCTACTTGCAAGTTTTTCCACCAGATGTTTGTCCTTCTGTTCGAGCACATCTGATAAAACCTCGGGTAGCTGAACAGGACAGAGTGACGGATAGTTGGATAAAACAAATGTGTTGGTAACGTATTTGTGAAGCAACAAGCGATTTCGAGGAGAAAGCTCTACCGCCGATGCGTGAATCGAGCCAGACCGCGAAGCTTGGATCTGAAAGTCATAAAACTCACCTCGATAGCGACGCTTTTTAGAGTTGTAACTGCCCCCGGCACCCTGTCTCCGGTCGTAGTCGGCCATTGCGATTGAACTCTAGGCCCCGAGGCCTTCGCGATGCGGTTGTAGGCTGCCAACGAGAAATATTGACGGACAAATGCCGTTTGAGAGCTGGCCGCTGATCGGGACTCGGTTGGCGACAAGAAGTGTGGTGTGGTTCGTTAAATGTTCAATGAAATCGCAGGTCCCAGGAAGGCTCCAAGCAACCGCCAAACGCGAACTGAAAGTGGGTCAGTGATGCTGACGAAGTGCAACGCTGCCTGCGTATTTAGGCATTCTTGCAGCTTAAACTACTAGGTACATTGTATCACTGTTACCCTGAGACCTCAATGAACATCTTGGAGAGCATCAAAGTTTCCATGATTAAAGTGTCTGTATTACCCCTCAAGCTGTCCCGTTGACAAATAATGGCAGCACCGTCTCTTGTTCTTGACCATGCGAGAAAACCAAGGTACCTAGAGACACATAGGTATTATACCTCTGTAGTATGTTGTGTTCTCAGTCTCGACGGGCTTTTGCTAGCCTGCATGTCTCTACACCTCTCTGCTGTTGGGGATTCGCTGTAAACTAGCCACTCGTTCGACTTGGCAATGGGAGTCTAGAATTCCACAAGTGAAGAAAGGTGAAAGCGGAAAGTAAACAAGGAGTCTTTTTTCGATCATGCTATGGATACCGAACCGCAGGGTAGGCAACAGGCTGCCGTTTTTCCACCAACCTCATCATCAATACCTGCCGCCAATAAACAGAACGCAAAAAACTCCCTCCAGGGTTTCGCTTCTTCCAGAAGTCACCGTCATCTACCAGCAACCGTCCAGCTATCCCATCCATTCCGTTCGCCGTCCTCTTGCTTCAGGCAAGCATTCCAGAGATGAGATGACGCAGACCAAACCAACTCGAGTCCTCGCTCTAGACCAGACCACAACAACATAGTCAAATATTGCCATCTCATCAATCATTGCCGCCTGACAAGACAGCCAAACCGATGCCGGCGCCCGAGCGAGGAGCAAAGTCCGAAGGCCGCACTCGACCAAAAAAATAGGAGGGAGGCCCAGCCACCGTTGCGCGTTGCGAGCATCCACCACAGGACCGAAGCCTCTGCCCCTGCGGATGGGGAAGGGGGCATGGTACTAAGCAAAAGCCATCTCGGTCATGCAGAAAAGAAAATTCTCTAAATGAAGAAGAAAACAGTCAAGCGACACTGTTCCCCTCGAAACGGCCAACCTTGACTCGACTAGTTGCGTCATTGTCCCATAAATCTCGTGGGCATGCCTGCACCGCCCCCAACTCTTTGCAATCCATCCACATCTCCGCAACGGCTTCGCGACACTGTTTGCTAGGACAGGCGGGGTCTGGGGGTTCCATTCTCCTCGTCTCGTGGTTTCATTGCCACCTTCGTTCCTGCGGGTATCTCGACGGCATTTCCTTTTGTCATGTATCATGAGCGGTCTGAGAGACCCAAGAGTCGCGCCTCCCTGCTGAAGTTCGGCTGATATTTTGCAACCCAAGAACAGTGTGAACTGTCCGGGATAACCGACACGTAACCAGGAATCCAAACAAGACAATTCTTCAAGGAGGCTCCCTCAGACGTCAATCTAATTTCGCCATCATCTCCTGCTTGCTCATCGGTGTGAAGTTGTCAATGTCGAGCCCACGTGATGCCAGCACCGGGATCATGTGGGGCGGCACCAATTGATGGTTCAGGTGTGGGGCAATGGATAGCTCTGTCAGGAGACAGCTGTCAGCATACGACCGAGCAGTAAACGGCGAGACCATAATCCTTACCGTGACGAGAGAAGTCAAACAGCGGGGGCAAATCCCTGATCTGGCCCGACTGATGCCTCGAGTCTGGGAGCTTCGTGTTGGGGTCCCGGAGCTCGTCGAAGAATGGATGGACCATTGCATCAATAGCAGCCAACCGCTCCGTAGGAGTGTATTCAAGCAGCCGAGCGATCAGATCGATCGCATTCGCATCCGCCTTACGGAAGACCTTGTTGAAGGGATGAGGCTTGATTTGCGGGAACTTGTGCTCCATGTAGTTCGGATTCATGGTTCGAATTTGCTCTCGGGTCGGCGTGCCGAGGACTTTGATGATCTCGACCAGCTGGTCTATGCCAGACTCTCCAGGGAAAAGCGGCTGCCCGAGCATAAGCTCTGCCATGACGCACCCAGTAGACCATACGTCTGCCAACCTCGTTAGTGGTCGTTACGCCAAAAGTGGACCTGTCTAGTGCTGTTTGCTCACCAATCTTGGTTGTGTAGTTTGTTGCGCCGAAGATCAATTCGGGCGCCCGGTAGTATCGCGAGCAGATGTACGACACATTCGGTTCGTTCTCCACAAGGATCTTGGCACTTCCAAAGTCGCATAGCTTTAAGACGCCAGTGCTCGGGTCGAGAAGGAGGTTCTGCGGCTTGATGTCACGATGGCAAATGCCTTGTGAGTGGATGTACGCCAGCGCCCTAAAAAGCTGGTAGATGTAGAGCTTGACCTCTAGGATGGGCATGGTGGTCTTCATCTTGTTGAAAAACCTCGACGCCCTGTAGACGGTCTCGGGCACGAACTCTTGCACAAGGTTGAGGTAGACCTCGTCCTTCTGTCGCAAATATCAGCACGACCTTACTTGACTGTGCATCGACGTGAGACTTACGCGCTCGCCGTTCGAGTAGTAGAAAGCCTTGAGCTGTACAATGTTTGGGTGTCGCACAATGCGCATGATTTGTAGTTCCCGGTTCTCGTAGCCCGTTAGCCCCGATAGATACGGCCCCGAGACATTCTAAACTCGATGGGCGCACTTACCTTGAACCTTTTATCCTGAAGAACCCGCTTGATGGCTGCATCTTCGTTTGAAGGCGACAGCTTGGTCTGGAAGACGACGCCAAAGGATCCGTTGCCGACAATCTTACACTGAGTATACTGGATCTCGCGTGTCTCACCCGTCACGCCATCTTGAACCTTTTCGCGGATCACCTCTATGAGTTTCGTCAGCATCGCACCCACCAATCTGCTAGAGTCTGGGCAACGCTCACCCCCCATCCGCAGGGTATTGAACGCTGCTGGGCGATTCGACGTCATGCTCGAGGTTTGCGTGCCACGGTTGTGCTACCGCGGGGGACAATCAAAAACTACTGTAGGTGGACGAGAAGGAGGGCAAATGGCGAGAAAGTCGGTGCCGGCCGTGTTGGGCAACGGGAATGCTGGCGGCTAGGGATTGCGAGTGCTACTGGGCTCAACGTCAGGCTTGGACTCGATGGCCGTCTTCAAATGCCAGCTTCGCAGGCGATGGATACGCTCTTTTCAGTCGAATTGACTTTTCGTTGACGATCCCTAGTCTTGTTTGTGTGCTGGCGCTTTCGTCGCCCGATGCCGGTGGTGTCGCTTGCACGAGGATGGTAGGGTTTCGGGCGGGAAGGGTGCAACTTGGCGGCGCAAAGGGAAATGGGCGGGGCGGTAGATGCAGCTGAGGTGTGCGACAGGCGTGGATTGGCTATTGGACGACTGGTATGGGTTCTGCGGTTAGAGGTGACGTCCCTTAGGTTCCGTAGGCCAGGCAATGGCTCGGCGATGAACTGCGGGAGGAAAGTTCAATGTGGTCGCGATAAAGAGTTGAGGACCATGAAGATGTTTCCAAGAGGGGATGTGGGCTTCAGCGAAAGAGCTCGCTTGAATTTCAGAGGTCACTTGAGGTGTCGAAGGTTTTGGAGGGGCGGCGCGCTAGCTCAAGTGTAATGATGGCGGGGAACAGCAGGGTACTGTGGTGGCGACCGCACACAAGGGCAGCCTGGTGTGTGCAGCAGCTCGGCGCTCCCAGGCCAAGGTCAAGTGGCTCCAAGAGGTCCAGTTGCGAGGACGCATGGACTCGAAGCACTTATTGATCCGATGATGGAAGCCCGAGAAGCGCTGTAATCAAAGGGCCACTGGGCCCCGCGAACAACAAACTCGCAAAAAAAGTCGTCCACTCTAGGTCTCAAAATGGAGACGAAACACACACACACTCAGATGGCGAGAGCGAGGGAAAATAGGGCGATATCAGGGGAACCGGGAGACGGATCGACGGGCGCATCAGTCTCTTTTGCTGGTGCAAATTTCCTGCCATTTGCATGCTGCTGCAGCTCGCATCTGGTGAGGTCAGATGGCCAGGGACTTGGCGCTCTGTACGATCGATGCAGCCAACCAGAGCAGGTCGAATGAGGGGTTGGGACAGGGGAGGGGCAAGGGTTACAGAGGCAGGTGAGCCTTTTTGGAGAGCTGGGACGTCGATGGTGGACAGGACAGAAGAAGGCCAGAAATGAAACAAAAAGACATTGGGAATCTGGGACACTTACGCGCGCTTGTTTCTAGCCTTGGTATCCGGCGAGGGCAGATACCACAGTAGTCTTGGTGAGAGGCTCGCGCCGGGCCGTCGTCACTTGGGGAGTTTCTTGGGTCTAGTTAACACAAGGCCGGCAACGGTGGCTTCAGGTTGTGGTGGAATGGGAAACGGTCCCCTGGTCCGTTCACCAGCAACCTGGAAGTCTTGGTCTCTGGAAGGGCGGTGCAAGCCGCAAACCGCCGGCCTGGCTCACGATCTAAAAACAGACTAGAGCACCACCGAGACAGAGGATACCAGTCGATATGTTCTGAAGATCGCGTACTGCAGTTGAGACAGCCTGAAGCACGGAAATAGCCGACTGCAATAACGGGACGCCACTAACGTTGACATATAAGTCGGCAGCACGCAAGGGAGGCTGGGGTAATGGCACTGTTGGGTCGCTCTGAAAAGCGCAACTCTTCGAGGGTAAAGCAAGAAAGAAAAGAGGAAGTAAACTATAGTCGATGCATCAATGCAGGACCTGCAGCCTGATGAAGAGATGCCGTGACGTGACGCTCACTGACGACAAAAGAGAGACAGGTATTGTGCTCGTACAGTACGTAACTTACATGCGGTCCCAAAAGTACGATACGTAATCAACTCCGAAACTTACCAAACACCCAACGACGGTAATATTTACCCCAATACCTAGCCGTCAGCCAGGCGCTCGTTGCTTGGCTGCCGTGATTCGAGAGGATCTTAAGTATGCGAGTCGAGACGACTATTCGAGCTCTTTTAACCATATTACATTACCTCTGCAATACTGTATATACCAGTGTACCTTGAGAATAGTTAACGTTTGTGTATTATAGTGTCGTATGCCTCTGGTGACGGCTGTTTCGAACAAGCCTGCGTCCTTACTGTCTTTGTCACCCTTGTCAGAAGCCCGATTGTGGAGCACCGAATGTTGTTGGTCACCTGCTCATTGCTTCCCGACTACGAAGTACATGCACTAGACATAACAGCGCCTCGGGCCTAGCAGTCTGATAATCGCCGTCGCATTTCAGCTTCAAAAAGTAGGTCAAGTACTTATATCAAGACTCATTTGCCCAAAGTGAATAACCTGGAAGAACCGTTGGAGATATTCATAGTCGACAATTTTCAGCAAGGTATGTACATACTTCATGACTCTGCGGATACCTCCCAGGCTTAGTTTAGCGGCTCTGTGTTACCGGTAGGGGTCAATTACACTACGGAAGGCACAGTGCAATGGGTGGACCCACTGTATTTTAGCATCACAGAGTGCAAGAGGCTCTTATCAACCTGCCGTCCTAGCTCGGAACAAAACAGTACCCAGGCCCCCTGCCCAAGATTTAACTGGCACCGCAAAAACAGAACAGCACCACATTTAACATCAAGGCTACACTTAAAGAGTTGTAAAATAAGATAGAATTAACTGCTTTAGATAGCTATCCAACTGCTAGTAATTCCTCTGTCTAATTCCGAGCATTCATTGAAGATTTGGGGGATTGAATTTTATACATTTGCTGATGCTTCCCTTGCTTAAAGAGGCTAAATCTTTTTTTGCGGTGCCAATTAAATCTTGGGCAGGGGGCCAGGGACGACACCGCCTATGATCGGGCAGAGACATAATCACTGTCGCACACCCGATCGAAATGGGAAAGAGAACCATCAATGGCCTGCGAAATCAGGAGTAATCAACGCAATGGGCGCTTCAAAAGTTCTGGCTGTCCCCTGGAACCGCTAGTACGGGTCATGTGCCCTCTTAGGTTGCGAAGTGGATCCGACCGGATGGTCAAACAACAGGCGCTCCACATGCTCGACCAGTTGTCATCGCTGCAAAGCCGCTCACGTATGTACATAGTGTACGGAGGTTGGGGCTAAAAGTTATCATCATTCTCTGTTTACAGCCAAGCCTATCAACGTGCGAGGAACTGAGAGAAACATGCTTACACTGTATTTCATTTGGGCATAGCGGTTTCTCTCCATCTTCGCTGATTGGGCACCGCCCATAAAGCCCCAAGCGCAGGGAGACTCGCACTATGCCTACAGTGGTTAGGGGCCAGTGGCTGACATGGGCTGTGCGAGCCTTACTGTTTTGGAGGTCTTGGCAGGGTTGGCTAACATGGAGTGATGATGACTTTTCGCCCCAACCTCCGTACATACATACTGTAATTATATGTACGAACTCTGCCGCTCGTGTACGTGATGTAAGTGAAACCCTGGAGACCATCATACAACACTTTTCGCTAACTAACAAGGAGTCAGTGATAAAACTTGTCTTGGTCACCGCTCCAAAGAGCTCGCAGTCCAACTCCATACCTGCAACACATCCTTTGCTATTGCCGATTCTCCATTCCACTAAGAATCTTTTTTTCGCTCCAATAACTGGACCCCCTCGGTTCACCTGAACATCCAGCGGCGAGGAAAAGCCGTGGACTTAAGCTAAAGAGTGCCTCGTGCGCCTCGAGTTTGCCATCATCCTTGCCACGGCTGCCTGGCCGAGAGAAAATGGGACAATGTGTCAATGCAAACGGAATCAACGCCGCGGGGCTCATACGGTGAGCTCTCGACATTGGTTGACGCGAGCCAAAAGCGAAATCAGAAGCGAGACGTTGCCCATCGGCATCCAAGTCATACCGCAAGCTAGTAGGGTGTGCGGATGAACTCAGGGGACCGAGTGACAACGCTTAGAACTGGAGGTCAGGCACGCCCGAACGACAGGAGATGTCAAACATCCCCGAGATATATGACACTGCAGTCAAGGCCAAAGAGCCACTCGGACGACATGCACAGAAAAGTCAGAAGCTCTTGTACGAAATTGGGACCCTGAAGCTCGACCTCTCTGCCGGTATATCGAGGGGACATGACAGCCAGATCCCACCACCATACAGTTGTCCCTCTACACGACGTCTCAAGCATAAGCTTGAAGACAGCAGCACGGCTGCGGAAGCCTTCCGGACCGATGAGCAAAAGTCGAGCTGGAGATGCGATTCCCCGGGCTGGAGAACCTGCATTGTAGCCCACGACCTGTGAAGTATTGGTTTTGAGTCACTCTCTTCGCCGCCTATTAGGCCAGCACTCTAGCAGAACGATACCGAATTTGACTGGGCAAACTGGTGACCGGCTTTCCCCCGATGGGACAAGAGAACGAATGCCCTTTTCTCAATGCTTCTTCCGCCGTCATATGGCCCAAATCATACGGCATTTCGGAATTCGGGAGGAGTCTACGGAGAATCAACATCGGACCGGACTCGACAGGTATCCGGTCCGCTCCAGTCATTGACTACCGACCTGCCACGGCTGCATCTCCCAGGCACACCCTCATCTTACAATATCTGAGGCAAATCCAATGAGTTTACTTTCATGTCAACGCCGATGACCGGATTCAGGGTTATAGGCGAAGGAAAGTGACGCTGAGAGTCATGAGAGTTGATGGGAGTTGGGGTTGTCAATCACATGCACAACGGCGGCTACGTCTTGAAAGGGGGACTACCGGTATAGCAGGTTTCGGCATCTGTTCGAAGCCAAAGAAACGCTTCCATGGCCCATCAACGTTACCTAGAGCAAGAGCCAAGCAGAGCCCTGCGTCGGATCGGCCGGGCCAGGAGTCCTTCACTATTTGACCTGCAGCAGCAGGTTGTTGATTTGATTGGCCTGTCCCTGGCGCTTCTGCTTCTGCTTACCTGTCACGGTGCGCCTACCCCTCCCACATAGAAATGGCTGCCGAGTTCCATCTGCAAAGGACGGCAACCCACTCAGGAGAGCTCCATTGGGATTTATCCCGCTAAAACACTGCAGTGCCTCTACACCGGTCTTCGGCACCCCCCCCAAGCTCACTATGTGTGAAGATAGATGTATTCATCATCAAGAGATGCCGGACCCCTGTCGCCCACGCATGTTGGCGGCAGGGGCAGCTCTAGGCCTGCTCTGTTGCTTAGGTTCTCACGCAGGAAATATTTGAAACAGAACTGCTGGATTGGGTTGTGTGGGTTGCAGCTGTCACGCTCCTCGAGTGCGTCGTAGTTTACACAGTATGTGCGAGAGCATGCAATTACTAGCCCAACATCTCTCACAATTGGTTCTCGCCCACCGGAGCCAAGAGAGCCGATGGATTGAAGGAATCCATGGATTAGGGGCAGTGCGGGGCATGGCAGATCTCAGCATGCGAATCTGACGGAGGGGGCCAAAGAGCATCTCGGAGGAAGCATTGTGTGGTGCGACTCGACTGACGACATCCATCTCAAAGGGGAGACCAGCAGAAAGCATCAGGAAAGCGGGCCCTCCGGCCTTGTGACCAACCGAGATTTTCGGATTCCATCATCGCCGCCATGCAGGCAAAACAAAACGGAGCAAGCTAAAAAGTTTACAACGGACGATGTCGCCGACAACGAGCTTGTCCTCTCTGTCCTGAGCCGCCCCCACCTTCCGCGGCGGCTCCTTTTTCTGTGCCGAAACACCTCCGGCTTTCAGATGCCTGATGCTGAGGGCCATAGATCCGTCACTGCTCTGCGTGTTTTTGTGTATTCTCTCCGATGCGAGCTGCAACCAAGGTGGACCTTTGGGCAGTTCTTTTTGGATAAAAAGAGGTCCCATGACCTCCCTTTGACCCCGCTATCCCGCTGCGCTTGACCGGGTAATCGTGGCGACGCCGATCCGCTGGCAAAGTAGCGCCGGGCTCACGGTCATTCAGAATGCAGAAAAAAACAAAGAAAAAGGGGGAGGAGAGAATTATGTCGTCAGCCATTGGCAATTCGCCAGAGGCACTTGGCGAATAATATCATAGATGCACCTTCGGCTCGTAGCCGAAGATTCCTTGAGCATTGGGGCACTTCGAGCCGCCGTGTTGAGCCTTGTCTCGAGCCTGGCTTCTGGTGCAAGCATCCCCTAAAATCTTGTCCCTTTCGCGATGTTGACGTTTCCGACCTTACATACGTCGAGATCAAATACATAAATCCTCGCTGTTTATTGCAATAATGTGAGGAGGCGATAAGAGTCAGGCACGCCAGTACAAATATGCGAGGATAGTGGAGAGAAAAGGTATTTACCTAATATCTCCCACCGACTGCTGAACTCGTAGGCGTAGCCCCTGAAACGCCAAAGTGAGGTGGAACTGAACCCGAGACTTTGGCTCGGGATGCGCGCCGCGACCCGAGGGCATTCCCGCGGGACGAAACCGGGGATCTCTTCATCTCCAATCACCGGCAGTAGAATGGGCAGAATGCCCTCGTTCCTGTTCCCTTTTCCCTTTCCCTTGATATCGGAAATCTCCGAGACAGCAATAGGTCCCGAACCAACGGTTGGTGAGGAAGGGTTCTGAGCCAGAGCGAGACACGCCTAGGAGTATACATAGCAAGTGTGTTGAGTTGGGGCAATACATAACGTACCTCCCGGCAGTTATAAGCGTATGATTACCTGCCGAGATAGCCTAGTTGCCGCTACGGTCCGTCTACCGAGCATTGGGTCGGTTGGCGAGAGGGCTCCGGTGTTGATGTCTGTTCGCAGGGATGCAGTTGCAGCTTGTTGAACACGGCTTGCGTGTATCCGTATTGTATGTATGTATGTACTGTACAGTACACTAGGCAGTATCGTACGTGTATTGTATTTTACAGCAACGCGCCGAGCGTCAACGGAGTGGAGCAGTGAGCTTGCTGGCAACGGCTAACCGCATTAAGTTAGTAACTGGTCAACCTGCAGGTTGAATATGGTCCGTGCGGGAAGCTATGTGTTCAAGAACCACCGAAGGAAAGATCCACATTCTCCCGCTGCATGCTAGAAGGCGTAGTGTGTATTTAGTGCATTGAGATATTGGTCCGCCTGCAAAGGAGTTGAGGGAAATAAACCAGCCGGCATTGCATCACTCCCGGAGTTTCAAGAGCAAGTGATAAATCACTGATATAGGTAATCAAGGGAGGTAGCGTTTTGAGAACGCAACCTCGTGTCCTCGGTCCTGACTACAGAATACATACCTATATGCAACAAGCTGCTGCATTTGAGCTTCCTCCATTTGCTGGTTTCTCTCCTCCCGCATTCAACCGGCTACCCAACTTTGCAGTTCATGCCTTTCACATCATTCGGTCTCGTGGTCCCAGATCAACCGTTGTTTCTTATCGACCGGTTACACCAAGACATCCCACAAGGTTCAGCTGGCAATCGCCGCTCACACACCAGCTTCGAGACCCGTCGAAGCTTGGGGCATATCAGTTTCATACCAGTTTGCCGGCCCTTTTCTTCCAGGAGTCGTAGCCGAGTTGGACAGGGAGAAAACAACCCTGAAGATACGAATCGATAATGTTCCCGCGCTGTCGTGTGCGAAACCCCCAAAGCAATACATCGGCGCATCGTCGTTGCTACCTACAGTTGGATGTTCCCGTGGCCACGGCAATACACAATACATTGGAGCCCAAGAGCATTGTGCTAGGGTCGAGTTGGCTAGCATTAGCTCTCGTTTCTCTTCTTCTCTCTACGTGATGATGTGTTTGTTTGGTTCGACGATTTCCCGGCTGCCAGACTTGGGGACGCTCGAGACTGCCGGTGTCCTGCAAGTCAGGCAAACGGTCCTCCCTGGTATGCATATTTTTGCCATTGTGCAACACTGACCTGCCCAACAGAACCACAGGCGACAGATTAATCTCCGCCTCTGGAGGGAACAATGGATCAGCTGCATGAAAGCCGCGAGACCCGGGGTGGTAATGGATGGCAAGCGTCGCGGGAAGCAGACGCATCTTCTCTCAGGCGTGTCAAATCATTCCAGCTGCCGCCGTTGTATGCGCGAGTTATCAGCGCGTACAACAACATGTGGGCAGAATGCCCAAGGCGTTTGGCAGCTCGGCAGTGCCCGGCTGTATGACATGAGAGCTGTGTCTCGTCGCTGCGGGATAAGCGGGTTTTATTCGCTGACGCAAGACGTTGGACAGATTCGTGAACCGCAGACATGGCTGACATCTATTTGTTTGTGATTTCAGGTGCTTGCTGCATGCAGGAAGCAGCTGGCCGATCAGCGTCTGTCCCAGTATCCTACAGCCAGCTCAAGACACGGGCATGTAGAATCAGATTGTTACTCATGCTAGGATTAACGACGTCTTGAGTGTTGCATTGGGACGCGGCCTCGTCCCCCATTGCCCCAACGGGACATGAGGGTCTTGTACTATAGAGAGCCAGGCTAGAGAATCTCACAGACTGACAAGAAACCTAACGGGCTGCGATCCTGGGTCTCCCCCGCGAGCCACACGAATGAGGCTCGTAGGTCAAGTATAGGGTCAAAGCATGACCGTCTTAGCATATAGAATGATACCAACAGGCTTCTTGCGTCCCTATTCACTTGCTGCAGTACAAAGGTACGTCTCCGAGCTCGCATGTCGTGAGAAGCATCCACAACCCACAGCGGACCGTCAAGGCTCAGGGACGTTGGCACACCCCTTTTCCTTAGTCACGCTTTCAAGGGGTGGAGGTATATGAATTATAATTCTGGACTCCCACATGGTATGCTAACATATGACTGCCCGGAGAATTAGTCTGAATACGTACTGGCGCTTTAGTTGGTAACATAGCAGCTCACAAGTCGCTTCCAATAACTTGTGTAGAATAAGGTCATGGAGCCAGTTACTCCGTATCATACATCGTATGCCAAACACCCCGGATCACACATCATCCGGGAGGAGAACACCAGAACCCGGCTGGCCAGCTAGACCTTTCCAACACTTCGTCCCTGACAGTAAACCACAACGCTATAACTCAACGCCTCCCTCAAAACCCTGTAGTTACCCGGTGACCAACCCATCCCGGCCACAGTACCACCCACTCACCCAGTGACCGGCTCACTTACAGAGCCAGGTTGTAAGCATACTCATCCTCCATGTTCTGGCTGATCCAAAGAACCACCGAGCTAGAAGAGTAAATTAGGCCCCGGTATCAGCAATAAGAAGCAGCAAATGAAACACACAGAGAGACTCACCTCAACCCAACAAGCGCATTAGCCACCACGTTCTCAACCCCCATGTTGAGCGCGGGCCAGGGCACGCCGGGGACGACAAACTTGAGCACAAAGACGGTCACGCCGCCGGCCATGCCGCCCGCGAGGGCGGCGAAGCCCAGAAAGAGCACAACGCGGGCCTTCCAGGCGACGCCCGACCCGGAGTAGCTGAAGCTGTCGGCCGACAGGCGGGCCTTTTCCACGCTGTTGATGATGAGCATGCCCAGGCTGCTAAAGATGAAGGGCAGCCAGTCGACAAAGGTGACGTGCACCGTCGACCCGTTGAGCGCGGACTTGGACCACACGGCTGAGTCGAGGAGCACGTAGAAGGCGAGGGAGAACTGTTGCACCGGGGGCGCGGGGGGTTAGAGGTCAGTTGGAGGCTTAACAAGAGGAGGGGCTGGAAGCGGGAAAGGGGGGGGCGTGGGTCTGGTGCTGCGTCGGGGTGTGGTGTTGATCGCCAAAACGTACCAGTCCGCCCGCGGCATATACCCCCGCGTTGCGCGCCCACACGCTATTCAGCCATTCCGGCCTCCTGAACTTCCACAGACGGTCCTCGGACATTGTTGTGTATGACGGGTGCAGGCCGGTCCTGGAACTGCGCACAGCGGGACCGAATGGAGGTACGAAGGTAGTCGGGCGCTGCGGTTATCAAGGCTGGGACAATCAGGCTCGAGAACAATATGCGCTATCCGGGACGTTCTGTTCTGTTGATTTCTCGTGATTTTAGAGAGCGATATGAGATTCTGTTCAGCGAGTTACTGCTCTGTGTCGCCGTTGCCGCCGCCTCCGTCGACGTCGTCGAGGGTATCTTTTGTTGTTGGAGACTTGCGAGGCTCAGGCTGAGCTTCTGGGGCAGGATGACGACGTTGGAGCACCTGAAAGTGACCCACCCGCCAAGGCTGGCAATCTTGGCGCATCAGAACCGCGCGACAAAAGCAGTACACGTGACCTCCCTCATCGTCAACCCTCGCTATTTGGGTGTCTGATTTTGGAAGCTGCCATGGTCTAATCTTGCAATTAGCGCTTAAATATATCCTCTATGGATGAGAGAATCTGCAAGTGGTGTCATCTCCTTGACTCAGGCACAAGCTACCAAGAGTTGAGCACTAGGTACTAGTAGTCTTACCCAGCACAAACACAGTCAACGCAAGGAGAGCAGACCATCAAAAATGTCTCTTCTAAATCTGGCAATGATGCTGCTCCATGGATTGCTTCAACGGCCAAAATCAAGCAACCCGACCCCTCCCAACGCCCCTAGTCACCAAGAAGACTGAAACGCAAGACCATCATCAAGAAGCTCTTCGCAGAAACTAAAGCCTGTCCCCAACCATTCACCATCCGGGCCGAACAAGTCCAGAAAGAAGCGGTATTACGACTCCATGCCATTAGACTTCTCCACAGTGACCCTCGGTCTCGATGCGTTGTTGTTGTATGATCCAACCGGTCACGGCTGGAAAAGAGGGCCTTCGTTGCGGAGAAAATCTAACGACACACACCCAAACCACCCAACTCTCCTCTCCTGTTGCTGGCCACACCTAGCTCAAAGCCAAGGTTATTAACGAATAAACCAAATATAGTGTACATGAAAGGTTAACAAGTCCCTCCTGCTCCAAGCATGCATCTACCAGCAACGCGACTGCGTAGCATCAAGAGTGCCTCTCCTGAAAGCGAGTAAAATAATCAGCGCCAAAAGGGTAAGAATAAGGCGAAACCCCTGAGATGCCATCCTTCAGCCCTTTTCCTCACGCCGCGCGCGACGAGAGATGGTTGGGCGAAGAATGCATGCCTCTTGAGATAAGTCCAAGAACAGAAAACGAAGAAGGGAATCGTTTGACGCCGTGACAGAATATGACCCGAACCGAATCGTTTGAAAGAAAACTGATTCCAGTCGCCCGAACGCCGTAGTGATTCGTTGATGTGAGTCGCTGTATTCAATAGATTGGCCCTCTCAGGCGCCTCGGCTGTCCCGTAAGCTGATCAAGACTTGTCGAATCGCCTTCTTCCCCCTCATCCTATATCTCGATTGTCTTCATCCCCTCTGCCTCCGTATCAGGCTGCTTTTCGCTTGCCACCGCTGCCGAGCCGTTCAGTTTTGTCTCGGGCTTGGTCTGCTCAATAGCAACGTCGCCATTGGCAGCCAGGGCGGCGAGTCTTGGGGCATTTTCCTTACTTTCCTCGCCGCTTTGCCGAGGTGTATCAACCTCGACCAGTTTCTCCCCGGACTTCGGACTCGTAGCTACCTCCTCGGCCACTCGCGCGAGCGGGCTCGGCTTCCCATAGCCGGGCCTAATGGGGCTTGGGATCGGGGAGATGGCCCCGGGGCGCTGCAGCGACCGGCCGCGGTGTTCAATGTTTGGTTCTGTAGGGGTTGCGTAAGGAGAGTTCGGGGCGCTAAGTGAGCCCGCTCCCGGCGCCATCGACTTGCGCTTGGCGGCCGTGCGCCCGTACTTCTGGTCCATTCTCCACCTCAAAATGTCAAAGTAAGCCGGTTCGACACGGGCGTTCCTGAACTCGCGCAATTTGAGTTCGCCCGTCTCCTCGTCGATAAACCACCTCCCGCTCTTCAAGTCGTCGGCAACAATGGCCAGGAACGCGGACCACGACCGGGCAACCACGTATTTCGTGTCATAATCCCGCCCAAAGAGGATCACTTGGCCCCAATGACCCTTTGGACCCGGCGCAAGGTCCACAGCCAGATTGTTGCCACCCCAATCCCGGACTAGAGGGATCCAGGCAGGGTGCGTATACGCCTTTTGTACCGCGTTCGGGGGAACGCAATCTTGGCGGGCTAACAGCTCCTGTCTCCAATTCCCCCTCCTAGGCGATGTCGGTGCCGAGCTGGACGAAGCAGCTGCTGACGTGGATGCCTGGCCGCTGCTACCTCCAAGAGTCTTTGACGGGACCGTGGGCCTGGGAAATGTGGCCTCGAGCAAGAATTCTTGGTTAACTTTCCGCCAGTTCTCCCACTCCTGCACGATCTCCTCGCAGTCCAGAAGCATCGAGCCAAAAATGATGCCTGTCGGGATGCCACCGCGTTCCTGGCCGTCGTGGATCTGCAGAGACTCCCTAACGTCTTGCGGGAGAGAGCAGTCGAGCTGGAACTCGAGCTCATTGAGGTCGTTGATCGTGCACCCCTCACAGAGCTGATCGAACAGCTCCGGGTAGTGCTCCTCGGCCCAATTATCTATCCTCTTCCACGAACTGGCTATCGAAGGCGGCGGCGGCATGCCATCGCTGAATGACTGCATCGGAATCTCGCCCGCTGGACTCTGCGTCTCAAAACCATCGGCTGTGCTGGACTGCCGCGCGTTAAACGATCTCATGCCGGGGGAGTAGGGTCTATTGGGTCCAGGGCTCATAGGTGCTCCACCAGGGGGAATCGAGGCCCCTTGTGAGGGATCGAACGTCGAGCCCGAATGCCGGGCGGTTTCGTCGTGGTAGGGCGATGCGAGGTCCGGACGCGCATCACCCGTGGCCAGGCCATTTAACGGAACATGGCGCCCGGTTTTGTAAGGCGCATCGTAGGTGGAATCTGGCTCCCTAGTCAGCGAGCAATACCCAAAGCCGTCCAATCATGGGCAATGCTAACGTCTGTCATTACTGGTCATGGTATGCCAGAACGAGCGGAAGACGGATCCTATTCTGATATCGGGGCCGTGTTGTCAGCAAAGTCAAAGTTGGCGCGGCAAACGCCGGTTTCACATACGAAGCCATGTTGGGCGTCGAATCCTAACGCGGTGTGTGGTGACTCGGGAGCGGTAAGGAGCGGAGCCGATTTCAAGTCCCTAGCCGGTGGTACGAGAGCTGATCTTCGGCAGGTGAAGGTGGGTTTAGGGTTGATTCGGAGTTCACAAGCGCGCGCCGCTTGTGCGAACGGAGAACGGGAGTGGCCGGCGGAGGGGAAAGAAGAAGGACGATGGCCAAGGAAATTCGAGAGTGATCAGGAAACGAAACAACAAAACGAGTGATGCATCCGCATTGACGACGATGATGTAGTGGGCAGCTGCAAGAGAGCGGTCGACGATGGGAAAGTTTGGTTTCCAAGCTTCTCGTCTCTCAAGGGGCGGAAAAGAAGCAGCCAATGCAGGGCCTTCAAGAGCGAGTTGGCAAATCAGGGGTGAGGTTCCCACTCGCACTGGCCCGGACAAGCTGGTGGGGGCTGTTGACTGGCTGCCAAAGGCCCGCTGAGCCAGCTGCAAGCCTCGATTTCGGCACTCCGGGGTCCGCCACACAAACAGCCAAGCCGAAGCCGTTGGACGGTGTCACGCACGAAAAGGTGCTTGTAACGTTAATTATCTGGGTCCCGGGGGTGGATGCAGGATCAGGGACAATGCGACAGCATAAAGTTGGCCAACGTTGGCGAGATACTCGATCCTTTTGAGTTTGAGCGGCACCACTGCCGAACCAGATGTCACCCTCTAGCAAGTAATTTCGCATGTTACCAAACTTCTTTGATGCCTGGAGCGTCGTCCAGATATTAACAAAAACGTCATTCTCCCATCCATCTCCCCCTTTCGCAGCTGGGTGTTTGTGCCACACGGATTTGTATGATCCATGCGGGGGTTCAAACCAGAGATTTGTGTATCTCTCCTTGTATGGGCTACCCGGTATTGAAGCATGGCCTACCGGTACTGTCGATACTCAACGAGCGAACAGTTCGCTGGGATCCGGTGCAATCTTCGTCAGCACGGCAGCATGAGCAGCCACAAATGCAGCTATCTCGGTCTTAATCGGTGCATGTTTCAGATCTGTACGTTTCCGGTTGGCCATTGCTTTTCCATCAAGCCAGTTTTGGAAGGGAAGAAAACCCCGGTCAACAACTACAACATGTATAAGTGCCTTAGCTTTAAGTGAGGTGGTTACGTGTACACTAAACTAAACAATGACAGTAGCCTCCCGTCACTGCACCTCATGCAGCTGCAACTAGCAATTGGATGAAGTGTATCGTTTCGTACGTTGGTCTCGATCTCCTGTCAGTTACGTCGTCTCAACTCTCAAGCTACCGCACACCATGCGCCGAGGTCACTTTGACAGTTTGTCACTCAATCACCGACCTTACATTAGTCGCATAACAACGGCAGTAACCTCGAAAGCCATTGGCAACACCGGTATCTCCCTGGGCATTGCCACCTGACTGAACAAATGATAACAATCAACGGCTTGCTCAACCAATCCCCTTCCGAAACCCTTGCGATCTGAAGGGCAGCGGCTCGCTGTCGCTTTCTCCCTCCAGCTTGCCATACCGCAACACAGGCACGCGTCGTCCTTGTCCAGTCAGACCCCAACATGAAATCCCTAGGTATGAGTCTTGGGCACAATCACCCATGGTACCTCATTCGGAAAGCGTGATTCAATGACTCCGTCACCGCGGTGCAATCCGTCCGCCGGTCTCATCCGTTCCCCCGCACCAGAGCGGCCCGCGCATGCATTTCGCTTTCTTTTGCTAGTGTAAAACGTAGGGTTATCGCAGATTATGAAAACCCCCTTCCGGTAAGGTAGATGTGGCTGGAATACTTCCTTAGGTATGATTGCAACCGCAAGAAATAAATAGAAGTGTGTTCGAAGTCAGCACGGACAAACACATCAGCGCTGTAGCAACAGGCGGCATCACACTACAGTGGCATGAGCATGTCTAGATCTGAAGGTTGATGCTGCTGTGCTTAAATCATCTGATCGATGCTGGACAATTAATCGCCCTACGCACTTGCCACGCAAAGAAACCAAGGGGGAGCAAGCTGGCATAAAGAAGCCTCAATTCCAGATGCCGTTCCACACCCCCAATCAATGGTCAACGCTACCCCTAAAACTCCAGAACCTGCTTTCCAGCGCAACCAAACCCGGGCAAACCCATCATCACCACCGAGACTGACTGCCTCAACTCTGCCACATGTACTCGCTCAGCGCAAGCAACTTGTCAGCCATCTGCCTCTTGGCAGCAGCAGCCACGCCCCTTTCCGGATCTGCCAGCTGCTCGCTATAGCACAACTCCAGCAACGCCTTGAGTTCGTCGTACGTAAATCGCACATCCCCACTGCCACTGCCACTGCCACTCTTACTCTGGCCTTTGTCCGCGCCATTCCCATTCCCATCCCCATTCCCAACCTCCTCCGTCCCCGACTCCCCCTCAGCTTGCGGCGTCCTGGCCGCAAGGCTATCCTCCTTGGCCTTCTTAACAATCTCGTCCGGGCCGAGATCAAAGAGCTCAAAGTACCTAGCGGCCCGTCCCAGATCGACGCCCGCGGCCTCGATATTCTTCAGGTTCTGCTGGAGCACCAAGATGTTGAGCTGCATGCGGCCGCAACCTTTCGCGTTCATGGGCGCCACCATGGGCGCGTTGGCGATGAGGAAGGCGTTGACGAGCAGCGCGAGGCCCGTCCGTACAAAGCTCGCCTCCCGCTCCCGCAGGAAGCGTGACGCCGTCTCGTCAAACGCCACCAGCTCCGCGTTGAGCGAGAGGACCTCCGGGTCTGGCTCGGCCACGTCCTGCTCGAGTAGGTAGGGTGCAGTGGCGGCGGGGGAGAGCGCCGTGTGTAGCGACTGCGCGATCCGGCAGCGGATCTCCATGTGCAGTGTGCGGAGGGCTACCGAGGCCAGCTCCGAGTATGAGGTCAGGATGCTGTCGAAGGATCTGAGAATGCTGTTAGCGGATTCAATGGACTAGGGGATGAGAGGGACAAGAGGTGCACGTACTGGACTGTCTCCTGCGTCATAGGCAGGTAGACGGGCCCCTCCTCTGCCGTGGCCTTGTTGGGGTCGTTGAGCAGCGTCCAACGCTTCCTTTCCGGTTTCGGTAGGCTGGACCTGGACGAGTCCGTCTCGTTCTGCGTGATATGCCGGAGGCTGAGGATCTTGACCGACAACCACTTCATGCTGGTGTACAGCAGGCAGAGTGACGAAATAGTGTCGCGGTCCTGGATGATGTCGCTGGGTTCGAGCTTCTTCTCCTTGGTCCGAGCAATGAGCAAACTCGCTTCCTTTTCCAGAAGCTCACGGTCTGCCGTCTCGGCTTGCCACAGCTTCTGCATCGTCTCGTGGATCTCGCTGGGTTCGAGGGCCATGACGGCAGACGCCCGCAATTCCTGAGCAGTCGATGCCTCTTCCTGCGTCTTGGTCACGAGAGCCTTGTACCAGTTGAAGCACCTGTCGTAGTACCTAAGCATTTGAGTGATGATGAGCGAGCTAAGCGCCTGGTCGTGGGGGATTGTCCCCAGCATTCTGCAGAATGCAGTTACAATTGTGAAGAAGGCAGTTGCTCCCTTGAAGATGGGCCGCTTGGCAACGTCGGTCCAATCCGGGTCCTGGAAAAAGGCATCCGCTTCGCCAAAGACGGTGTCACTGAGCTTTCCAAGCGTCTCATCTAGTTGTGGTTGGAACACATTGACGAGGAAGTTGTCGAGGAACGTGGTCAAAGTGCTCGTGGCCAGGTCGGACCCGGGCGGGACAATATTCTTCAGCCGCTGGAGGAAGACAAGCGTCGGTGGTAAGAGCAGGCTCATATTGAACACACTGGGCTCGACGAGGGATTTGTACGTCCCGCTGCCTTGTTGGTTGGTACCGTAGCCGGTGCTCTTCCTGCTGGTTGCCAGATCGGAGCGTGGCACGATTAGAGCCGCTTTTTTGCCATCTAACCCCTTCCGCAAGTTGGAGGTCAAGCCGGGCACGGCAGATTGAATGATGGTATCCAAGGCCTCGTACTCGGTTGTCATCTCTGCCGACTTGGCATCAGCCTCTGAAAACTTGAAGAGATGCTCCCGCGATGCGTCAGCCTTTCCGTTCAGGCCAGCGCCCGGCCTAGGGGAGGAGCGGAACTGGTAGACATCGGCATCGGTTGTGACGTAGTTGTGCAACAGGGAGCGGATCTCATTCTGGTACAGATTCCAGAGCTCTTTGAAACCGCCTAACAATGCAATGTTGTTGCCAGCTCCCTCGCGACGGATCAAAGACTTGATCGACTCGTGGAATACCCGGTGGCCCTCGGCTATCGCTTCAAACTTGCCATAGAGAGTCCACAAAAGATCGTAGATTACATCCGCCCTCATTCGGGTCTCCCGCTGGCCGTATATGTGGAGCCCGTGAGAGCCATGCGAGCCGCCCCTCAACGAACTAGGATGCTTCTGGTCAATGTCGTTGATAGTCTCGTTCACCACCGCGAAAAGCTCAACAGGGAGTCTCTGCTTCAGCGTGTCGACTGCAGTTTCCAGCCTGCCCAGTCTGTTTAGTGACTCGACCAACAGTGTTATGTAATAGAATGTGTCGGCCTCGGGATTCTTGTGCGGATCTTCTGCCACGGACCGATCCCAGTCGATGGTGTCCAGGATGGCGTGGAAAGGGGCAACCGCGGGCGAGTCCTTGAGCGCCTCGTTAAGGGCGCCTTGGCTTTTAGCCAGATTCTGCCACCGCTCCTGGCAGTAGGGCGACTTGAGGTAGAGGTGCTCGTGTAACTCCTCGACCAAAATGTCCAAGAGCGCCGTCTCTTGATTCGCCAGGTAGGCGCGCAGATCGCTCAGCGCACCGATTCCATCCAGTTCGGGCTTTGTGAGCTTCCGCAGTGCGTTCTGAAGGACCTCCACGGCGGTAAGGAACCGTTTTTCAGATATCCTGGCCTCGAGCTGGTCGGGCACGGTGCGCAGTTCGTCCAGCTCGTTGAGCGTCTGCAGCACTCCATCGTACATACGTGATGTCGCATGTAGCTTCTTCAGCTCCGGGTCCGTGGTGCAGAGCGCTGCCTTGGATGCTGCTAGAGACTCCTTGAGAGCGCGCACCTTCTTCTGCGACGTTTGTATGCTCCCTTGGATCTTGTGGAATGTGCCGATGGAGCTGTTGAAGCCCTGATGATACTCGTGGACGATCTTCTTGAGCGAGTTCTGCAGGTACTGGTGGGTGCGCTGGAAGTTGCGGTACTCGTGGGCGCGGCCGACAGAGCTGGTGTCGAGCAGCTGCAGGGCCAGTTGAACGGGAATGCAGTCATTCTCGCACATGGCGGGCCACTCCTGCTTGATCAGCTCGAGCACCTTGCCCATCTCTCGCTCAGCGTTGGTCTCTTGGACCCGCTCGCGCTGGGCAGACCGTGGCGGGGGACCATTACGAGCGCTGGGGGGCGGCCGCGGGTTCGCCTGCCGCGACGGCGCAACATTGCGATCACTGCCATACCCCTCTCCGTACGGATCGTACTCGTCATCCTGGCGGCCGAGGCCATCGTAGCTGCCGTTGCGGTACGACTGGCCGTATCTGTTGGACATGGTTGTTTCGGTGCGCCGGACGCTATCGGATCGAATTGCTCTTCATTCTCGGTCTCGGCTTGGTATGGCTATGTGTGTGGAATAGGTCCGTGATAGATGGCGCTGTATATATTGGCTTGATATCAATTGAAACGAGAATGTCCAGGCGCTCAAAGTCAGAATCGCAGGTCGGTTGCGTCCTCTCGGTTGTAAGGTTGTCAAGGTGCAAGTGGTGGGCGGGACGATGCAGCTTGGCTGGGGCTGGCGTTGCACATACCACCTGCAACCTGTGTAACGTAACGTAACTTACCACATCTTGGCCCAACACGCAAGTTGGCCCCACCCAAAATAGGCTCAAAAACAGCCACTTTGCCAGGGTCAGTCAAATCATCACAACGCAGTCAAATATAGCCAAATCAACGCACTTCAATTACTAGCTATAGTTGCCGCAGGGCAGTATTAGCTATTACAGTCAGTCAATTACATAGTACAACGTAGTCGTCCACCCAGTCAATCCACTCAGTCAATCTACCTAGTCAACCCTATACAACAACGACGACGACGTAGTTATTCGAATACATTAGGTCCCATCTTCAGTTCCTTCTATACCATATTGACAAAGGTAACGAAGCTACATATAGCTTCGCGTTCAGCCTTGGCCATAGCTTTCTGGGCTTCCTCTTTCTCCCTCTCCTTGATCTTACATTGAGCCTCCTCAACCGTAAGGACCCGGGCATCGCCAACGGCCTTCC